CGCACTCCTTTTTCCGCCCCGCCCCTGCCAGTTCTAGCCGGTTCCTCCCCCTCCCCTCTTCCCTCCACCCTTTTGCCGTCCTCTTTCTCCCCCTCCTCCTCTCTTGCCAAAACGAGCGCCCAGCTTCTTCGCAACCCCCGGGCGAAATGACGCACGTGTCGTCTCCAGGGACGGCGTAGCACACGGGCTACCCGTCGGGAGCATCGCATAAGTGAGGCCATATTTTAAATATCTTGATTATCTCTCGATAAATGTTACATCGATTTGTAACGCGAATAAATGGGCATCCAGCGTGTTTGTTGTATAGCAATTTGCTACTTCTGCTACGTCGGCCGCTCTTCTCTAGATATTGATCGCAAATTTTCGACATATCTTCTCGCTTGTAGCGTCGTTCGATGCGCAGTTACCACGAACAACATTTCTATAGGCGCAGCAAATCTAGACAAGGTCGAAAAGTATCTGGAAGAAATGATACTCTGAATCCTAAGAGAATGTTTGCAATTATACTCGGCGAAAAATGGTCGGCTTGTTTGACCGACACTTCGAAAATGTCACGCCAAGTGTAATTTTTTCCACGAACATCTCGCCCTTTTAATGTCGCGCACCGATGTCGAAAACACGGTCAATCGATAAGCGAATATCGTGCAATTTGAAATTGCCCGGCCCTGAGGTAACGCGTATTCGCATGCGCCGAATCGTCCTTTTATCTCCATTATTCGAATCAACGAGGGCGTATCGACGCAAGGGAAGCCCGTCGTTTGTGTGTATGCGCGCTTTCGTCGCCCCTCCGCGCCCCCTCGTCGCTACGTTCCGCGATTCTCCCACCAACGCGGCTGCACGTGGCGTCCGATGCCCTGTCGATGAGGCTGCCGCAGTGGTTTCCACGCGGCACACGTGCATCGCGCGCACACTAGGTCATTGCTCCCCGTCTCTCGCGAGCAATATATATCGAGAGAGCTCAGGGCGCGAACCGACCCCTTGGTTCGCGCGGCACTTGCTGCCATCGTCGTCATCGTCGACAGCATGACCACGACACGGCGAATCGCACCGAGCCGCTCCTCTCCTTGTTCGTCCTAGCGTAACCGTGCTACGTTTGCGTTCTCTTGCCGGGCAGATCAAGACAATTAAACACGATATTATAGGCTGTTATATGAGATGACGTTATTACCGGTGTATTAATCGAGAGAGAGAGAGAGAGAGATTTGTTTCTCATTTCATTCATTCATAGCTTTGCAATTCATGCACTGCATCGTAATTCATTTACGTGATATGCAAAATTTGCGTTATCACCTTTATGAACTCTCGGTTGTTTTGCGAAAGAGAGGGAAACAACTTGCATCGGTCGTTCTAACATCGCGGTATCCTTAGGTAACGTTTCACAATGAAACGTCGTGACATTTTTTTTTCCACGCGATCGTAGCGCATATTTTCGCATACTCGCAAATTATTCAACCTTGTATCGTATAACGCGCTCACACAGGGACCGGTCTGTGTATTACAATTATTGCATAATGAAGTTTTCAATATATCTAAATTATTAAATATATCTCTCACGCAGTTATTCAGAATAATGACACTAATTTACAGCTAAAAATTACTTCGAACCGTGTTTCTTATAAATCTTTGGATGCTGAAAACGATCGCCGCAAACCATCAGGATTCCAAAATAATTATGGTTTTATGCGCAAATAATGACTTTTTCTACAGTGTAAGAAACAATCATTTTTGCTGGAAAATGTTTTTCCAGCAAAAATCATCGGAATAAAATGCAGTACAAACGTTTCTTTTATTTTCTATAGATAAAATTAGTTGAAATAACATCTTACATTACAACAATACGTAAATTTTTATTTAATATAGGCTAAACTTAAGGCTTTTGTATTTTTAAAGTTGTTGATTGGAAGTCGGAAGCGAGAAATCGTAACGTGATTTATTCTTACGTAATATATGGTAATAAATTATGTTCTATCTTTTTCATAAAGTTTCCTTCTTTCATATAATTTGCTCCTGTTCGAATTTCAAGTTAGATGAAATTTTGACGCCATTTTTATGAGACGATTTTCTGACGGTCGTAAAAACTCTGCTTTATCGATATCTAAATCTGGCGTCTACTAATCACAATTGATTATTCTTTTCACACTTGATCGGTCAATTTCTTACAGCTTCAGGCTCAAGTCTTAAATTGTAGACACCGCTCACCCATATCGTTCTATCCCAAAAAGTGTCAATTGACCCGCGTTATAATGTACTATTTAGATAACTGAAAACTCATACTTATTGATTATCTTTTAGCAATTCATAAATCCAAACGAGATCTTTCATTAAAAGTTATCTTACGTGCGGACATTAGACAACAATAACTAAACAGAAATCTAAACCAAACAGAAATCTAAGTTTTTTTACCGAAAATAAAACGAATAATGAATTTTATACAATAGAATACTTTAAGGTGTTTTACTTATTCAAAGCTGCGGGTCTGACGGAAACGTTATCTAATATACCGATACCGCAGCCGCTTTTCAGACGATCAAAGAGAGCTATCCGAGTACACACGTGTATCGAAGTATTACATCAGGCTCCCTCCGTCACGACCAATGTAAACTATGAGAATTATGACAAAGTTCGATGCTTGCTGTTACATATGCCTTTATACTCGCTACTAAGTGTCACGTATGTGATAAATCCTTCCGTAAGACTAACGATACTGTTCGATAAGGGGCTATTCGTAGGACACGCTAGAATGTACTTAAAAATGGATCATCGTAAAAATACTCGTGGAAGAATGGGCGTTTCCGCTCATCGTGAAAATTCGCGACACTTCCGTTTTCAGACGGAATTTTTATCCCATCATCTTCGTTGCTCGAAAATAGGCTTTTCCTCGTTACCCTACAAAAGGTTCGCAAGTTTCTCGTGAACAAAGAATTCAATGCTTGACTTTTCGCTTTATCAACACGCGAGTACAGTCCTTTCTCCGCCGGTCCAGCTTCAATAAATTGTAGCCGACCACGTGGATTATACGACGACCTCGCGAAGGAAGAGGAACAAGGCAGAGAGCGCGGTGAAAGCGAAAGACAAACGGCGACTCCTACCAACCAGTCGTTACGAGCGTACGCACACGTGCGCGCAGCCGTCAATGACGCGAGCAGGATGCGTACGATGCAGGAACGTCGCGGGCAATTTTCGCGCCATGGGCACAATTTTTCTTGTGTAACTTCTCTTACGAATATAACTGTAAGGTCCATTTAGCTATCCATTATCCTAAAAGTGACAGTCAATATGTTTGTTTTCCGATGAATCTAAACAAACGGATAACTTTATCTGTGAATCTCATACTGGAGACGATAAGATGAAACGGTTAATTCGTGTGTATCGTGCGAGCCATAACGAGATGGGTCTTCAAATAATCAAATTGGCGTAACGTAGTAAGAAAAATTCATGTAAAATACGCACGAGCCGCCGCATGAACAGCCGATATATATATATTTTGCGAGACGATATTTTTCTTTTTAAGTGCGTACCTAATATGTGTGGAGGGCTCTTGCCGGAAAAGCTTTGCATTGGGAAGATGATATTACGTGTATAGCGGGCTGTAGGAACCACTTGACGCGGTACTGGCACGCAGGGGTGTTAGATTCGCGCACGATCGAGCGTACTACCTCCGCAGGTCACCTTTCCACCCTCTCGCTTCCTCTTTCCGGCACCTTTTCTCCGCATTTCACGCATCCTCTTTCTCTGTCTGTCATTCACAGTAGCGTATCGCACGTACTCCTGCGGATAATATCGAAACATAACTTTTATTAAACTCGACGAGGGAGTGTCATCTGACTTGCTCTCTGAAAATTGCTTGGAAACCGTAATTTGCACATTCTAACATTGCTCAGCTCAATTTGATGCGCCAGTTGATTAACAGACGAGGAATCGAAATTTCGGATCAAGCGTTGTTATTTGTATACAGGCGGCGATGCTTTATTACACGCGATAAATGCCCCACCGATTGATAAGGATAATAAATTTGTAGCTTCGACTTGTTCTACCTTTTTTGGCAAAATATCGATGGAGAGAGAAGTAGCGACATAGCGAGCACACCCTGGCTGACGTCCCTGCGCCATCTCGCGCGATCGTCATCCTCTCCCTTCGCTGCCAACGTCGTAGCGAATTGTACGGTCGGAAACCACGCCGACAGCCTCCACGTGCTGCGAACGGCACTCGGCCGGCGCAAATTCTAGGTCGCCGTCGTCGGTTCGCGAACGAGCGCGCTGAGGGGCGAGGAGCGGCGGCAGACGAAGGCGGCGGCGGGACGCGAAGGGAGAAAGTAGGGAGTTTCGCGGTGGCGCGTAGAGGGGAGAACGATCGCGCGCTCGTGCGTGCGCGCTTCGGTCGTGATCGCTCGACGCGGTCGAGGAGGTAAACATTGTACAGTACGATTGGCTGGCCCCGAGGCGGCGGGTTCTTCGGTTTTCCTTCCTGCCGAGAAGAAGATGACGAGGAAGCAGTAGTCGAGGAGATAAAGAAGAGGATTGTTTTGAGAGAGAGACGCTCTTTTTCGAAATCTATCGCAAAGCCGAGTCTCTCGCAGAAATTATCTCGTGGATGTCGCCGAGGAAGCGATAACGAGCGCCCGGATTTCGCTGGATCGCGCGAGGGTCTAACGTGCAGGTGGGTGCTCTCTCTCTACTTTCGTGCTTTCTCCGATCGCTTTAACCTCTTCTCGCGCATCCATTTTCTTTTTTCTCGCTGCCGCGAGATTAACCCGACGATCGATTCTTCATTCGACGAATTCTCACAAATCCACCTCTTTGTACAAATTTACAGGTCTTTTACGATAATTGAGCCTACTCATTTTTGCTCAGCTCAGCTTCATCGACGTGTTTCTTTTGCCGTGTCTCTTTCGTACTTTAAACGGTTCCTAACGAAATATCACCTATAAGCACGAAGGTAACGTGATGCGAAACAATTCCGACATGTATAACGAATCGTCGATGGCTTCGCGCGCAGAAACATTGTCGAGAAATCTTTAGAATTGTTTTAATCCGCTACGAAAAAACATCGTACAGAGTGAGAATGAGAAACCTAGATAAAAAGCGGATCGCTTTCCGAGCTGAAAAGAGGGAGCGCGGTTCCATCGTAAAATCGGCCGAAAGTGTCTTCCGGGCGAGAGCAGTGGCGATTCGGCTGAAGGGCGAGATTTCCCCTCGGCAGCGTTTCCGCGGATCAATACGATTTTTGCGTATCCCACTGTGCGTGGCGATACTCTCTCTCTCTCGTAGGATTAAAAGCGGGGCTCGGTCAAGAAGAAGGCGGCGCTCCATTGTGGCGGCGGAGAAGGAGATGAAGGAGGAGGATTTTTGCGAAGCGGGGCGGGGGGGTGGNTTAACGCCGGACGTGTACACCGCCGTGATGTAACTCGACGTCCTTACTGCGCGCCGAGTTGGACGAGGTCGGTGATCGCTATAAAAAAATGCGACTCGCACACGTGGAGGCGGTCGCACGGGTTTCGGCACCGATGCGAAAGAGGCGCGCGTCGCGAACTGCGTGTCGGTAGGTGGGGGACGCGCGCGCGCTGCACTGTGCCGCCGACCGCACTCGCAGCCTCCAGGCGCGTGCAGACAGCGCTCAACGAAGCACGCACGTATGTGTGCGATTTGGCTAATCTAGACGACATAAATATTCCGCTTGTTTACATACACCCTGTGTTCCCGTTATCTCGACATTATTTAGTTCGAATAGATTAGCGTATCGTACGAATACTTTTTACATTCCCAATGAGAGCTATGTTTGGAAGATATTTACGAGCAAGCACGTATCGTGAATGAGCAGCGATTTTTCCGAACCGTCTGTTCTGATCGTGTAGATTTCGCGGTATGAAAAAACTTCCGTCTATTGCAGCATCTCGTCTTCGATGTTGGCCTACTATCAGGCGGAACCAGCGACGATATCGGTGCCGAGTGGCATGATCGGTCCGGACGCAATAAACCCGGTCAAGAGTCTGGTGTGCAGTCCAGATCTCACCATGTTCGCCACACCGAGCTGCAGCGGAGAAATCGGCGCGACGACGGCAGCGACGGAAGGCAAGTACCAGTGTCTACTTTGTCAGAAGAGCTTCGCGCAGAAGAGCGTGTACCAGAGCCACCTGCGGTCCCACGGTAAGGACGGCGAGGGCCCCTACCGATGCAACATCTGCGGCAAGACGTTCGCAGTGCCGGCGCGGCTCACTCGCCACTATCGCACGCACACCGGCGAGAAGCCGTACCAGTGCGAGTACTGCAGCAAGTCGTTTTCGGTGAAGGAGAATCTGAGCGTGCACCGACGCATCCACACGAAGGAACGGCCGTACAAGTGCGACGTGTGCGGCCGCGCGTTCGAGCACAGCGGCAAACTGCACCGTCACATGCGCATCCACACTGGCGAGCGACCGCACAAGTGTACCGTGTGCTCCAAGACGTTCATACAGAGCGGCCAGCTGGTGATACACATGCGCACGCACACCGGCGAGAAGCCGTACGTGTGTAAGTCCTGCAAGAAGGGCTTCACCTGCTCCAAGCAGTTGAAGGTCCATACGCGCACCCACACCGGCGAGAAACCCTATACCTGCGACATCTGCCGCAAGGCCTTCGGCTATAACCACGTGCTCAAGCTGCACCAGGTGTCGCACTACGGCGAGAAGGTGTACAAGTGTACGATCTGCAACGAGACCTTCGGCTCCAAGAAGACGATGGAGCTGCACATCAAGAAGCATCCGGACTCGTCGGTCGCCGCCGCTACCGCCGTCATCACGGAAGCGCCCGCTGCTGGCTCGCCGATCGAGCCGGACATCTCCCAGGGTGGTGGCGGCGCGGCTCTGCCCACCGACGACAAGGAGAACCTGAAGACTGAAGAGCCCGAGTCGTACGTCGTTCAGCGCGACTTCGCCTACTACCTGTATCCCAGCAGCAGAGAGCAGCAGCAGCAGTACGCACCCGGCATGAGCTCGGCGGAGCCGGTGCTGACCGAAATCGATGAGAAACGCTTCCAAGCGAGCGTGAGAGTGAGCTCGCCGTTGGAGCCGCCGCACATGTTCTTCTTCCCCGAGCCGACCTACACCGGCTTCGGTTTGGCTGCCGGCAGCGTCGGTCTCGACGCCGCCGACTGCTCGTCGTTGTTGAATCTACCCGGTAACGACGCGCGTCGCAGAGTCGAAGCCGCGCTCGAAGCCGTCGAGGAGGAGCGTCAGCGGGAGTGCGGTAGCATCGATCCGCTCCTTACGCCGCCGAGCAGCAACCCCTCGTCGCCCGATCCCCTGGATCTGGCGGTACCTTCGCGGGAGACGCTGATCCTACCGCCGAGGAAGCGCAGCAAGATGATCCTGCAATCCATGGAGAGCGAGAGGAGCGGCGGCGGTCTCATCGCCGTGCAGAGACAGAGCTCCGTCATTCAATTCGCACGGGCCTCATAGTTCGCTCGCGCCGCGAATTCGCGCCTGGTAAGAGAAAGCGAAGCTTAGATATACGTGTGCCCCTATCGGGCAAAACCTCGACAAAAACGCTGCTGTATCGTCGGCGTCGTGTATTTCGAACTATCGAGGAGCTGGCCAGTTCTTTGACGATCGCGTTTGCTACTTAATGGTAATTAATAGTAATTAAGACGCCGTATTTTCCTAACGGCCGACTACACTCTCGCGGCCACCTTCTCGACCTTGTTCGATAGCCTCTCCGCCTCCGAGGCTTTATGTGTAGAGACCGCAGGGAGCTGCGGATTGCGGGCGTGCTCGGCAATGTTAATGTCACTTACGCGTTACGAGAATTATATATTATTTCATTTTCATAAATTCAAACGAACATGAAAAGTAAAACGGATAGAAATTCAAGAGGTAACGTAATTTGAAGTAACAAATACGGCGAGAGAGAGAGAGACAAAGTAAAATAGTTTTAACCATATTATCTCTTTCATATTTCTATTCGTCTTTATTTCGCGAGAGTCCAAACTATTTGTTATAAATTTAAATTTTATATACGTGTAAATTATTTTGTTATTTTTATCATTTTTATATATATGCTGATAAACGACATTTTCAGCAAAGAAGGAAAAATCTTCGGAGTTATGTCTCTTCAACATTACAGCGATGCTCGCCTAATGTTGCCTAACAGATGCTGCAAGCATCATGATTTTTTAAAGAATGGCAAGAATCGTCAATTAGGTACCTATGGCGGTCACAACTATTTATCCTACAGCAGCTAACACGATTAATAATCGGGCAACAATTGAAAATAGCAATTAAAAATGTATTTAGTCGGCCAACTTTTTAAGTAACAATTACCGCTAGCTACAAAACTGCCTCGGTCAATGATCGACCAGCGCTATGCAATAATTGACCAATATATCGTAACTAATTAATAACATAGAGAGAGTTGGCCATCTAAATATGCATTCTTTCACGACCGGAAATGATAATTCGCGTGTTCGTGCGTATTACCTCATCGCCACAAGCACGCCGCGACGGAAAGCCGCATCCCTTGCGCCATTTTTTCGAATAATTTATTCGGCCCGCTTTTGGGATTAACTTTTGACGTGTCGTGTATGTCCTGTGTAATTGTATAACTCACCGTGTCGAGAAATCGTGTCGCTTGTGAAAGTCGAAAGAACACCCAAATTAATCTCTCGCCAGCCTTAAAAAGACAGTCTACCTGTGTCCGGTCAGTGGCGGTTGTCGTTCGTTGTCATCGAGTCGGCTAAGTTGAAACGCAGATTTTTCCATACGATGACTTACGGGGATCTCTTGCTTTCAGCTTATGGTCACACGTCTCACCCTATACTCTCGCTGCGTCAATTCACTGTAGGGAGAACAAAAAGAAAAAAGAATTTTTGGAAACTGTCGAAAACTTGTCTCGTTGAAAAGTTTACCCTAGAAGATAAGCGTGTTCTCGCACGTATTGTGTGATCGAAAAGTTCGCTCAACGATGATGTCACTGGACTCTCCCATGTATCAAAAGTTCGTCCGGACGGGCGATTTTCAGGGACTCTGCGAGCCAGTTTCGCCAACGTCGGTTAACTATAACCGCAATTTATTCTTGCTCCGCGTCTCTTTACAGTTTGCAATTTCCGATGAAGACTCGCTAAGGTCAAACTTAATTCGGCGAAGCTGACCACGGGTTCTTAATACCTACGGATTTTCCTCCCGAAAGGCCATAATATCTCGTATGCGATTATATATACATATATTTATATGTAAGTATTATACGTATATATATGTATATACGGCTTGCATATAACGTGCAGAAACCGAGACGATGCGAGGAAGGAAATTGATGGTATCGTCGAAATTGTCTATCGCTTTTGTGAGAATTGGAGATCGATCGTTATTTAGTGCGTGGAAATTAATGTATAATTATTAATCGGCGTAGCCAGACGATACGGAATTATATACATACATACATATATATATATATATATATATAAGAGAAAAAAAAGACAGCAAGGATTACAGCCTGCATGGAAATGAGAGCGGACAAAGGGAAAGGAAAGAAAAGTGCACCAAACAATTCGATATCTCTGTGATAAGAACTCCATAGTACCAGAGTATTGAGCGGAGACGAGCCCACTGCCAGTACAAGCGTATATGTGCACATGCATGCTAGTGTAATGCGAAACTACAACGACACATTGTATAATGATGATAATGATACGATAACACACAGCGGAACTCCGTTTGCCTTAATTAATTTTAGAGTCCGACCGGGTGGTCAACGTTTGTGAATTTCCCTTTTCTGACGTTTCTGCGCAAGATCTTAATTTTCTAATGCGACAGTACTACCTTACTATCTTCGATCGTCGAGTTTTATTACCGGAATGTTCTTCGTATGTATCTCTCTTTCTCTCTCTCTCTCTCTCTCTCTCTCTCTCTCTCTCAAGTCACAAACAGCGTCAAATCTTTTCCATTGAATACCAGCAAACGGAGTTTCGCCGCACGACCATCGAAAATACAAGAGAACACTCGTCCGCTCGTGATGCCTGGCTACCATAACATGCGTGTACATATATGCGTTCACACAAGTTCAATAACAAGTAGCATATAACTTATACATCGTATGTACATTATGTGCGATTACCGCGAGAATGCACCGCGCGGCCGATTGCTCGTAATACTAAAAACGGATATATGTGCAATTGTAATTTTAAGATCGTTCAACCCGCGAATCATCTTTCGAAAATGAAAATGTCGAATATTTCCAGTCTTGTCAACCAAGTGGATCTCTTTGTTTTAATCGCGTGCTCCCTCGCGCGTTCTTCGTTTCGAACGAGAGAGAATAAAAGGAGAGATAAGGTATGGAAGCATATTAAAAACGAACGAGATAGAAGTCTAAAAGAGGTTGTGAGGCACTTTCTCACTTTTTCAGATATCTTTTAAACGTTTCTTGAATTCTCGTCTCGTCGGAACGTTCTCTCTGATGAGAGATAACAATCGATTTGTAAATTCGCATAATGTCATATCGTGACGTGGAATTTATTCGTGAATCAGGATGGAAACGAAAGGTTTGCGCAAAGTTTGTTGCGAAAGATAGGGCTCGTTAATTAATAAACATTTGATGGATTTTAATTATTGTAGAAGTTCCAAATTTCTGGCGTAGATGGGGAACTCAATCGATGGTAATTGTTATAATAGCAAACGTAGGCCGTGCGGTGTAATGCGAATAGAGTGTTAAGTATTACATTAACGAGACAAACGAGAAAGAGTAGCGTAACGACGTCATTATTGCTAAAGCATAATGCCTATTATTACGATTACTATTACTACACACTATCTTATTATTGTCATTATTAATATTATTATTTACTGTTAAGCCATGCATGCCAGTAAGACAAGGACCGCCTTGCTCCTTGCCGGCGTGTGGAACTGATTACACGTAAAAGTATCACTTTTTTGTAAGGAAAGCAAAAAAGAAAAAATAATTCATCGCGCATTTCACACACATTTCATCGCATCGATAGAATCATTGTCCGTTGTATCCTTTCGAACGAAAGAGAGAGAGAGAGAGAGAGAGAGAGAGAGAGAACCTACTTGTAATAACTCCAAATAGTACAAGGCCCCTTCTTAATTTTAGAGCGTTGTAAAAGCTGTACGAAGAATTTATTATTGTTTTTGTATTTATAAAATTTAATATAAATGAGAATAAAAACTGAGTTCCAAATGTGCCTCTCGGTATTTTTCCTCTTACCATATATATCTTAGTCCCACATCGTACCTTATCTTGATATCTTACATTTTTTCACTTAGAAACTTTACGTGAGCACGATAAGCTCTGATAAATGACGAAAATCGAAGTATATGAGAAGTGAAATTCCAATAATATTTGAATCTGTTTGAACGCGCTTCTATGCAACGAGATGCAGCGTCATTGCGGGCATTGAGCTCACCTGCATTCGTTCCAGGAGATTCGGTGCATCGTTCTTGCAGTGTAACGTTAGAAGGTCGGTCCTCTTTACTTTCTCGTTTATCCTTTAACTGCCACGTATATATACTCTACATGCAATGTATTCGCGAATAACATTTATTTCGAAAATATTGTGTGTTGTACATTTCGTTTCAAGTGATAAGATCTCTGCCAGAGTTGAGAGAGTAATTCTTTATTCGTTACAAATAATGCGTTACTTTTCAAACCTGTAAAATATTAATCTAGATATTCAAAATTGTTGAAGAAAAAAGATTTTATATGATGTTAAAATCGTTTTTCTCTCTTCTGTCTACACGTAACATCTACATGTAATATTTTACAGAGTTAGCAACTTATTTTAAAGCGTAGTCTACAGTGGACAGTAGGAGTATGTTCATAAGAATAAGAAATTGATATTCGAGTGGTAAGAAGAATAATTGACCATGATTGGTTACTCTCACTTTTTATAAACATATTCCTACTTTGTAGACCGCCTTTTAAAACACGTTACTTCCGAAAATTAATGTTGCACGTATGCAAATTAACGATTATATTTGTTATCGTTGCTTAAAAAATATAAATAACTTTACCGTTATTAATGAAGATATCATCATACACATCGTTATTAAGTCATTATTGAAAAAAAAAAAAGAGAGCGGCGTTACAAATAATGAGTAACTTCCTATAATTCTGGTCTCTTATATAAACAATATTTGCTCAAGTTATACAACATTCTCGAGACAATTAATTGGTCTCTAACTTACATACTTCCTTTCGCATTTTTGAATAGAGAGAAAGATCTCGTTGCTGCTTGTTCTTCGAAGAGGAAGCATATCCGTGATACATACTTAGCGCTAAAATACAACTTTATCGACATAGAACGAAACGAGATTCATCGATAACTGTTGCTGTGTAAAGCTTCTGCAAAGACGAGACTAAACGTAGATGGCACTTGTGATTCGAGGATTACGAAAATGCTGAACACAATCTAGAACCCGTATGATCCATGTCATAGGCAAGATGGCAGTTCTCTGTTATCAGTCCGTTTATATAAAGAAGTCGTTGTAGTCGTTGTTGATACTGATTGCAAAGAATGAGTGTTAATAGTCTGTAGTCGAAATATTTTCTTTAAAAATTACGACTACATTAAACTTTGTTGTTGGTATATTGGTGTCTCTACCATATTGTGTACAGCCACGTTACGTTGAATATATTAAAATGGGTGGTGGAGATTTGGTAAATATTTTGTTACAATTCGTGTTACCTTAAACCATTATATATTTACCTCGTGATTCTAACAGTGCATTGTGTGTGTGTGCATTGCAGAATTTGAAAAAGTCGTGGCATCCGTCCACCATGAAAAATATGGAAAAAGTGTGGAAAGCAGAACAGCAGAATGATCAAGAAAAAAGAAGAATAGCTGAACTAAAGAGGGAAATTGAAATGGAAAAGGATAGGGAGGATATGACAAAGTATGCTATGGAGCAAGGAGTGATAGAGAAGAAGGATGAGAAGAAACTAGATTGGATGTATAAAGGACCCAATCAAATGGTTAATAGGGAGGAATACCTGCTGGGAAGACCAGTTGACAAAGCCTTCGAACAAATGGTTCAGGCGGAAAAAGCAGAGTTGAATAGAATACCAAAAAACCATGTTGAATATGGTAAATATATATGCATATCTCTGTGAGTACTATAAGCTCATGCCTGAAAAATATCTTGAGATATCTTAGGGGGATATTCATAGTTGGACAACCTTATACTCAAGATCGTCTTAAGTTCAGGTGCTGTGTAGATCGACTCATTGGCAACAAAGAATCTGTAGATGAATGTGAGGCGATCTTAAATATAATATCTAACTATGAATATCCACCATGAAGATATCTGAAAGATTTTCAAGACATCTCTTGTATGATTCATACATGTTGTGCATGAATGTACAAGGAAAATTATATTTAATACAGCAGTGTGTAGATGAAGGATTAAAATATAGTAGGATTAATTATTATTGTAAGTATTTTTATTCTTAATTACCACTTTTGGGACGGTTTGTTTAGAATTATTATTCTAAAGTACACTGAACAGGGAGAGTTAAGATTTGGATAGACTCATACTTTATGATACTTTGGTAATTGATTTTAGTTGGATCTGTTATTAGAATGCATCCCGCCTTCGCTGCGATTTTTCTCTGGTAACGAACAAGTGGATTTAGCCAGAAAAATGCAAGAGGATCCTTTGTACACCATAAAGAAAAAAGAGGTAGAGACTAGGAATCAGCTGTTGAAAAATCCTGTAAAGTTGAAACAACTCAGAGTGTTGGTAAGTAAATATATACTCGAAAAAACTGCTCACTCTGCTCAGAGTCGACTGATTTGTGAACGGAAAATGGTTGAACAATAGTCATACTTCTCGAAAACAAAATTGATTTATTTCGATATTCCTCGTACGAAGATACAGTTTGTTGCAAAACAGAACGACAAGTTTCCGTGGCACATTCTTATTTACACATCTTTGTTTACCTTTGCCGAATATTTATTTGTATATAATTTCGTATATAATTTACAGCTGGAGCAACAGTCGGGCAAAAGTAAAAATGAAAAGAAAAAGAAAAAGTCGAAGCAACAGGACAGTAGCGACGATGAGACGAAATTGGATATGCTGCTGGTCGCCAAGTACAAACAATTGAAAGACAACATCAACGAAGAAGACTTGTTGAAATCGATGAAGAAGAAGCATAAGCAAAAGAAGAAGTCGAAACGACGTGACTATTCCGAGAATGATTCAGACAATAGCGGCGGCAATGACGTTAAGGGAAAACTGCACAAGCGGAAAAAGCAGAGGAGAAACGGCAGTGAGAACGGTGACAGCAATAACACCAGTGACGAAAGTGACACTCAACGCGGAAAGGGAGAGAAGGATAGAAAAGAACGCGATGGAAAAGATTCGAGAAGCATTGTAAACGATAGCAGGAAACATATTAGGAAAAGGAAATCGAGCAGAGACAGAAATGTCGCGTACGAGAAAAGTAGAGGAGAGTATAGAGGAGATTACAAGGTGGATCGCAAAAGGCAGCGATATGAAGAACAACAGAGTTCCCGAAGTAAATACAGCGACGAAAGAAGATTAACCGCGGACAGGCGAAACGATGGAACGGCGTATAAGTGGAGGTCGAGGCAGAATCTTACAGAGGAGGAGAAGGAACGACGAAGACAGGAGATGATATCTAACGCAATGTGGCGCGACAAGGAACGGGAAAAGAATGTTAAGATGTACCGCGAGGAAGAGAAGAGGGAAGCGCAGAATAATAAGTCATACAATAAGGATTTTATTAGGTGTGTGTGTGTGTGAATTTAAATTATGAATACATGCCTGTTTCTATGAAAGACAGACCTCGGTATATGAACGATATTATTGTAGTGAAATTACGTTTGTTACAGGAAACAATTGGTCGCCGCGACAGAAGTCGGTACCGTCGCGTCTAGAATCAAAGCCAATATCAACAACATACAACGTTCCGGCCGAGCAATGGACACGAATTTCGCTAGGAGATGACTTTAGTATAATTTGTACAATTAGAATGTAAACTTTTGTATCGTAAAGATGTACATACACACGGAGGAGGAGGAGAGTGTGCGTTAAAATATCCCGAAAAATATATATCCGTTATTATTCAGAGGAACTTTGTATTCACATATTACGTGATAACACTTGGTTGTTCTACATACGACTGTTTGGTAACAGTCTCTCGGGTCTAATTATGATTCGTTACGTGACCTTGCACATCTCTCGGGAGTCATCGTTGGTGTCTAGAATAGTCGTGACGCAACCACCAGTAAGAACGTTGTTGACTACAGCCCTCGCGAGATACCCAGTGGTCACAGAGTAGTGCGCCGAGAAGAATGACGATTTCTCTTCGAAATTCGACAAATTGTGATCCTGCGAGGGATTTATCATAAGTAGACAGAAGAACTAGAACGATATACTTTTACCTTGCGATACATGACAAAGCTATCCTCCACGAGTTGGTTAAGGTCCAGCTGCTTCTGGAAACTCAATTCCGGATTTCGAAGCAGGATAGTCGACACGATGCTCAGAAGCTACGATTGCATAATTTGGATAAGTGATACTTACTGATTCGTTTTTCTATATCGCGAATTTATCGTTTTTAGATTGTCACAATTGCCCTCCCTTTCTGGCAACTGAAAAAACAGAGAGAATCCCTTACTTCGACAACGATTTGGCGATACTCTGGCAATTGTACGTGATGTAGCAAGGACTCCACGAGTAGGGCGAACGTAAGCTCGGAACGAGTCATGTTGGATACAGTGGGCTGCTGAGGCAATTCTCGTCCGTTCACGACGATACCGCCGGGGCAGCGCATCAAAACTTCCCATACTTGATTGTAAAAATGCGCCGGCACTCTACACAGGCAACCCTCGATTTTTCGCCGACCGAGCACCGTCAGGCTATTGACAAGGGAAAAACATTATTAGCCTTTCACTTTTTTTGTTCAGCTAAAAACGTACTTTTCCGCACGAGCCCATTCTTTGACAGTCAACACCTTGATGAGAAACTGCCGAACTTCGTAAGGACTGTAGTTCTCGATCGGCTTGGTATCTTTCACGAACATTTGCAGATAGAGCTTCATTGCTTCCAACACCCAGCTAAGCGGTTCAAACAGCAATTTAATTCAACGCAATGACGACCGAGGATGAGAGAGGATGGGAGGCTCACCCGATACGTATTTTCAGTATCCCTTTGAACATCTTGGGATTGGTGCCGATCAATCGACCGCAGTAGAGTAGAATTTCCTGCTGGAGCACCGCTTGCACCGTGTTGTGCGGCTGTATCGTCGAATACATGACCGATTGTATTTCCGCCGGCGTCATCGGCTTATCGAACACAGTTTCTTCTTGTCCGATCACTCCTACCGCGATCTAACACATACGGATGAAATTTCATTCGATCTTGTCGAGACGTTGCCTCCCTGTGTCGGTGGTACCTGTTTTCCTTTGACCAGCACACCCGTGATGAATGGACTAATGCTGTCGACCGTGTGATTCAATAAACTGCTGCAATAACGCACGGCCATCCAGAATCTCAAGGAGCCGGCTTGTTGATATAATGCTCTTAAATAATCGCGGACTGGAATGATAAGAACACGAATATTAGTGGGTGAAAAGTGAAGAAGGGAAAGGAAAGCACCTGTCGTCCCGTTAATCTCGTAATTAATGCCCTCTCGCTTTATCAAGATCCCGTACAGTTGACACTTGGCGTATAAGCCAACGCTATTGCGAATCTCGCTCAATATATCGTTCAGAGGTTCACTCGCCATACACTATGAAATAATTACAGAGGCTGTTATTCGGTCGGGTGTTTCGAGCATAATTTTCAGAGATACGATTACATACAGAGTAATCCTTGACATCCTCGGTATAGGCGAAAGCTTTCGGGACATCCGTCAGGCTTTGGTAGCCTATGTAGTCGTGCTGCAGTTGTTTAAACTGTGTCAAGTCCAGATCGGTTTCCATGGTGTTCACGAAATCCAAATGCTCTGGACAGATTTTGATTTCTTCTTATCATGCTTTTTACGCGCGCATCCTTTATAAAGAAATATATTCGTTACCGATGCAAGAGGACGAAATTAGATTTTGCAGTCTGCCGATGCGCACTTTTGTCTTGTCGCAGTAGCCTTTCTTCAGCATCGCGAAAAGATCCAACATCTTCTTAAACTGCGGATCACTGGAGAAATTTGTCGACAAAGTTGAATGTGTGTCGCGCATACGTTCGTCGACACGTAGTATACTAACCGCATGTGTTCCTCCCGTATCAAAAGGCATACGGTGGGTCGACCAGAGAGACGCCAGTACTTGCCTACGAATTGCAGCTCTGTTTTTATATCATCAATCAGCAAAGCCATGTCTCTGTACAGATAAAATTCGGAGACCTCGAAGATGAGAGGGTAACAGAGCACCGTCATACCGCAGACCCTGTATACCTGTGCAACGTATATTATCGTCGGTGTAACGGTGAGTAAGCGTTGTTTTCCCTACCTTGCTTGTGCCTAGAGAACCTATAGGTCGCGCGGGTCGTCCTTGAAGATTCAACTTGTTATTCACACCTAACTTTTGGTAAACCTTCACCAATTGGGTGGACGACAGAATCTGCACGGGCTCGACCTCGTGCGGCGTCTGTGTCTGAATGCCGTACGTGGCCATCATAGCTTGCAATCGCATAGATTCTGCGATCAAAACTATTTGTACCACTAGATCGGTGTGAGTGCCCTGGCATAGAAAAGTAAGTGCGCTAATCAGTCGTGCGGGATATTTGGGGGAAAATAACTAACTTTTTTCTTTCGCATGCTTTCTCTCCGTAAAAAACACAATGTGGTATTAGACAACGTCTCTCCTTGAAAGGAAGCGCGTGCACTAGTGCAGACATACATGCTTAAAATTACTTACAATGCTCGGTTTTGCCTGTGTGTGTAACAAAGAATCGTATTAACTTTCGAAAACGACATCTTTCCAAATCACTAGAGAATGCGCAACATATGAATACATCTGTTTGATGAAGAGAAATGTTGTTTCTCACTTGAAAAGCAGAGTATCGTCCCGCTCGTCTCGGACGATTATACGACGGTAGGTATCGACGGATCGGATCCAATTCGTTGATATGCAAGAGACCAGCGGTAAGTAGCTGCGCGATCACAAACATGGCCTGATTCCACAGGTACATCGGCGCGACCTCGTGATCCGCGGATCCTCTGTAACCTCTCCCTTCGTCGCTGGGCAGCCGATAAGCACTGCACGGCTCGTTTCTCTCAGCATCCAAATTCTCCTCCGGTACGTAATAATACATGGGAATTACAGGATCTGAGGAGTTTCATTATATAGATTCGTGACGAAGAAAGTTCTTTGGTAGATCGCTGAATAATAATACCTCCATTCTGATCTTTGTGCACTCTCGCTTTCAGTAAATTCTGATATTCCTCCACTTGCTCCGGCAGACTCTTGAATACGCCGTCTATTATCATGAAGATGTAAAACAACGGCCACTCGTTCTCGATACTGTCAAAATCCTATTAGGAAGTGCCGTTTAACGAGAGTTCAAATATATAACGATCGGTGCGATAATAAATAACTCGAGACCTTGATTTCCCCGGACTTGTAGTACCGTCGTTGCCTATCCTCCAATACTGTTTTGTAACCGTCCCTACCGAATCGCCTGAAGCCATAATTGCCTTTCAGCCTGCGGATTATGTTCATCTTAGTTTCGTTGTACAACACCTCCTCGTGAGTCGCAAAGGCGGGGAAGGATATTGTCGGCAATAAAGCTGCATCCACGCTCTAGAAATCACGCAGCTCCCTCTGAGTGAGCGAATCGCTTTATATTCTGATGTAGCTCACCTTAGAACTAGATTCTCTCGGAAGCATCGTCTCAAAGATACTGCGGTTACGATTGTGAGCATCGATATCGACATATATCACCGACCAGGAGGCACCTTTCTCTCCGAACAAATTGCAGCCGTTGATTGCCTCCAATGCGCTCTTGGCGATTCCAATAGAACTGGCATGGATCTCGGGTGTACCGTCGTTGTATCGGCTTCCACGTTCCCACATGCCGTAATCCGGTGTACGATACGCTCTCTCGACATAGTACACCAGGTTCTGCACAAAGGCTACCTCGTCTTGCGTGTACACGATTTGCAGCCCGGAGGAGATCATTTGCACCAGGAATATCAAGTAAAGAGACACGACGTCGATCTATAAGTGGAAGAAAGAGTTGAGCAGAATTTCGATTGCATGCAGATTGTATGCTCGCCTGTAAGTGATGATAATCGGCATCCTTGTAAACTTCATCGCCTGTGTCCAAGTGAAATTTGCAATGTAACGCAAAACGATCGCACTGATTTCTCTTGAAGAGTTCCACTCTGGAGGACTGCTTTACCCAACACTCCAGAATACCCCGCATACATTTGATCGCGGACTGTCCGAGTTCGTACGACTTGCCACGATCGTCGTCTATGCGCCTATACGCCTGATAGAGGCTCCATATCGCGGCAGCGCAATATATACTTTCGCGCACGCTACCAACCTTTCTGTCAGTCGTGATCTGCGGAAACAGACCTGTTATACAACTCTGATGGCGCAACAACTGTCTCTTAACTATCCCATAGTATATGTCCAGTTGTTTAACGGTATCCTCGTAATTGGATATCTTGAGAAACATATCGGCATCGAGATCTATCACGCTGCCTTGCCGCATATTTCTAATCTGTGTGCTCCTGCAAGTCGCAAAATTCACTCTTATTTCACATCTATTGTTTCTTTCCAAGACAAGATACAAACCTCTTTGCGCTCGGCAACGATAAAGCAGCCATCTTAAAAGTATTCTTTTTCGTCCAAACTTCTATAAACAAATATTGTTCGCAATTGTTTTTGTTTTTCAATCAACACCTTGTGAATTTCTTACGGATATCATGAAGGTCACAATTAATACTTTACTACGCGAGTGATCATTTTCCTCGCCAATTTCAACGTCCTTAGGTTCTCTTCCGGTTAAAAATACACGCGGTAGTACAATCATAGAAATCAGCTGATCGGCCGATCAGCTGATCCTTTGTTTTTTTTTTTACAGAAGTCGTGAGAAAATAGAAGGCTGGTCGTTATGAAAATCATATTGTATTTGAGAGCAAATTATCTTTCAACTTGCGGTGAAGTCGTTACTTGAAAGAGAGGAAAAGGTGCCACCGTTGCTCCTTTTTCTCTTTCAATTACGAACAGCCGAAAGGCTCCAACGTCGATTAGTCGGGACGAAACAAATTTTCACCACGACTTAACCAAAAACTATGCCAATATTCGAATATTAAGATAATAATAGGATAAGAATTGTAAAGCCCGTACTCAGATTGAATTGAATTTAGCCAATCGGTACAAACTGAACTCAAGTCTAGTGAAATTTAGTGTACTTTGCGCTGATTGGTCAATTCAATCCGTAGTTGATACGGGTTTAAGATGTGGATTATAGAAAATGCGTTCAATCGAGACGACTTGGTGAAAAGTAGGCGGTTCTACAAAGACCTTACCGACGGGTCTCTCTGATGCACTCACGTTAGACTATGCACTGAACTATCTGTGCGGTTCTAGTGCAGCTAAAACGAACAAACCTAACGTACGCCATTGTTTCTTCGAGACTGTTCGAGACTGTTCGGGAACTGCGGGATTACCCCGAATCATTTGACTTTGCTCAGCCGAAGATGCAGCCAGTTTTAATCAGTTTCTGACAGTTGATCGTGGGTACGAAGTTTTTTTTCGTAGCAGTCGTTCGATTTGTTGGCTGAACAAATCATTGATAAAGTAAGCATTCTTAAATGTGAGCATTTCAAACATATTTGATACATTTTCATTGCTTGTTTATACGTAAACCACACCTCATCAATAGATGACGCAACTTTTCATGGCTATAACACCTCCCGTGATAACCTGTTTGTAGAAATCCCATACGGGACGATGGAGGTGACGACGTCCGAATTTCCGCCTCGAGCGTATCAGATAGATCTTTATGAAAAGGCTGTGGAAGATAATATAATCGTTTATTTGCCAACTGGTGCGGGCAAAACGTACATAGCTGTTATGCTTTTGAAAAAATTAAGCGGTGAATTACAAATGTAGGTACATAATGCAGAAATGTTCTATTCTCTTTCTTGCCTACTTTTAATTGTTGATTATGCATTGATTTTATGTGCATTCAATCAGATCAGAAACATTTCTCTTATATTTAGGCCTTACAGTAAAAATGGCAAACGTAGCATATTTATCGTGAACACTGTGGCATTGGTCAGACAACAAGCAGAATACATAAAAAGACATACGTGTCTAACTTGCAAAGGTTACAGTGGTGATATGAAAGTAGACGTTTGGAAAGAAGATAGGTGGAAGCTGGAATTTGATGAGATTCAAGTATTGGACTCACAATACAAGTTCTGTCTTCTTACTGAGAAGAATAATAATATAACCGTTGTGTTTTAGGTTTTAGTCATGACTGCACAAATATTAGTTGATATTATCACTCGTGGGTATATGAAATTAGATAGGATAAATTTGATTATATTTGACGAGTGCCATAGAGCTGTGTATAATCACCCTATGCGACAAATTATGCAGTTGTTTGAAAACTATCCCAAGGAACAACAACCACGTACTTTAGCTATGTCGGCGACATTATTGAATTCTAATATTAAATCTGACAAAATTCAATCCACTATCAAGGTCACTTTATGCTACTGTATGAGCTATTAATGATTTTCAGATGTAATCTTGAGAGATACAGTTTTACTATTGTTTACACTGCAGGATTTGGAAGTAACATTCCAGGCAAAAATAGCAACTGTACAATCGGTAGAATGTATTCAAGAGTATTGTACAAATCCGAAGGAGAATATCATCAAGTATGATACCTATGTAGCCAGTGCATTAGCTGTTGATGTGAATGATATAATAGAGGAGTCTGTAAATGTATTAAAGAATATAATCCTGGATACTGATAAAATTTTTCTGGAATCCAGTCCGTATTTTCAGCCTAAAAAAAAATCTTCCAAGTTGATAAGTATTATGAAGGATATAATAACAACCACGACGCAAACCGGTAATTAATTCACACATATTCACATAACTGATTGATATAGTTGCGATGTAGAGGAACAAGGGGGAAAATAAAAGTTTTACGATATAAAATCGGAATTTAGAATTTAGATTCTTCCAATCACGCAGGAGCGTATTGTATCGTCGAGAAAGACGAATGAAAACTTTTGACATTTCTCAATAGTTATACATCTGCGTTTTCTTCTAAATTTCGCGTACATTTTCTTGCACACATTTCAACGTTCGTGTAAGATGCTGTTTAATTTTTGTCTTAGGTATATATGGTGGTAACAAATCAGTTTTGTTACATTTGATTCAGCTAGAGTATTTAAAAAAATACTGTGATAATACTGTAAGTGAAATATGATTTTTGAAGTATAATTAAAATTTATTTTCGAAATAGTGTAAAATACTCTACATTATGTTTTTAATAAGAAATTATTTTATCATAATTCAGCAAACGAATGTCATTCTGGAGTATCTAATTACGCAAGTTATCAGAATAAGGAAACTGTTTGATGAGACGATGAAAGATTATACAGAATTAGAACGAATTTACAAGTCAGTATGATTTTTAAGAAGATTTACAAAGCAAACCTTATACGAATTAATGTTGTATGCAATAATGTCAAGTGAAAAATATCAATTTTCAGGTTTTCATCTGACCAGGTCAATAAACTATTCATATTATTAAAGAATTTCAACGAAAATAAATTAGGCGATCAAAAGTTTTGCTGTATTATTTTTGTCAAAGAAAGATTTATGACGAAGGTGATGTATAGTATTTTAAAGGTGAGTATGTTTCCAATTTTCCGTTTCATTGAGTATTTCTCAATTATAAATTTCAATGATAACAATGGTGATAGATTTATAATAAAGCTATTGTAGTAAAAACTATATTGCTAAAGCAAACACGTGTATATACTTGTATATGTACACTGTGTATCATATATATGTATGTACGCGCGTGTGTTTACTCATTTATTTATTGATTCTTCATATTTAAAACTGTGATAATGTTCCAGACATTAAGTGAGCATGATGAGCAATATAGTTTTCTTTTGCCCGATTACATAATTGGATGTCAAAATAACCCTTACAAAAATACCAGAGAAGTTTTATGTCTTGCAAAATGGCAAAAGGAAGTAATGCAAAGGTAAAGTTTACCTTTTATTCGTTGATGTTTAATATTTTTGAAACGACGTAAGTCGCTCTTTATTATCAATAATTATCTACCTATACCGTTTTCATGCGAGCTAACAATGCACAAAAATGTTAACCACGCTTGTACGTTGTGCGTAAATTTAAATTATTATATTTGCAATTTGACACATATAAAGTGATTGGTAAGTGCAAATTATAATCTACTTTGCGCATACTTTGCTGCATCGATATAAAAAGACGTTTGCCTCTTTCCCCCCCCCCCCCNTGACTTGTATAAATGACAAGAAACGCATTCTTCATCAATATGATTTGTATATAATTAGTGATATAAAGGAGATACATATTTTTTCCACAGATTTAGAAAGGGCTTGTGCAATTGCGTGGTAGCAACCGATGTTGTCGATGAGGGAATCGATGTGCCACTTTGTGCATTGGTAGTACGATATGACCTACCGACAGATTACAGAGCATACGTACAAAGTAAAGGTCGCGCACGTCATGGTACGAGTCATTACACGGTTCTAGTGCCACGTAATGATGATTCTTTTCTTTCAAGATATAGGGATTACAAGAATACGGAGCTAATAATGAAAGAGGTAAGCATTCAGCCAAAATGCCAAAAGTAAATATATGATTTTGAGGATAATAATCGTCACAAATACATCAGAAACGGTCTATATAATGATCGTCTAGTATGATGAAATATATCAGACAGTATGGAAGTTTAACCAGATGGAAGTAAAGCGTAATGAGAACGGTAGACATTTGTAAATTGTTTAAGACAATAATAAATCAATAATTCTTGCGTATTTATCGTTGATAGATTTTAGTAGGAAATGAAGTTCGCAGCTTACCCACTGATCAAGAGATTGAAAACGGTCTATATCAATATGAAATCGTACCATATTGCTTGAATGATACAGGAAACGTTTTAACAGAAAACACTGTGGTCAATATATTGAATAGATATTGCAGTAGCCTGCTAAATTGTAAGTTTGTTACTTTGGTGCCAATTTGGACCTTGTACAAGAACGTCAATGATTTGTTTCAGGTACTATTTTGCAGATTTGTTTTAATTTCGTCGTTGTAACGTTTATTAATCAACATATATTCGGCAGGTTTCTATTCAACTACCAAGCATATCGCCAGTGAAAGATGTAATTTACGGCGACCCTATGACAAACATAAGTGGTGCCAAACGATCCGCCGCCATGAAATGTTGTATAAGATTGCACAAATTGGGTGCGTTGAAGGATAATTTAGAGCTTGCTGTGCCGAATGCAGTTTTGGAAGGGAAGGATCACTTGTTCCCGAATTGGCAACATGAAGATGATTCTTGGTGTGGTACACATAATAAGAAACGGCGTCATAAACTAGAGGCTAGTTTATATTTGTGTGTTTTACTCACGATAGCAAAAATACGCCCTCTCTCATTCAATTGATGAAATGTACTCTTGTAGCATCCGACAGCATTATACGAGGCATTTCCGTGCAGCGGTAAAAAATTGTACCTCCACATTCTCCATACGAGTCCCACATATTCTGTGCCGCATGATAACAGGCATTTGGTCTTTTACAATTTACTCAACGACAAGAGTGGCTTTGGCATTCTTTCTATAAAGAACATGCCCAAGGTAGAGGCGTTCGAGCAACATGCCGTTTTTTTTTATTACCATCGGGCCGCTAACATAATCTCTTTCAGATACCGTCTTTTCCGATTTTCATGAATGTCGGCGAATTAAATGTCACCGTAAAGCCTAATTACGCAACGATGACATTAAACGAAGAGGATATTAAATCGCTGAAAATATACCACACCTTGCTTTTCAGTGAAGTCATTCCAGTGATAAAGAACTTTACGGTGTTCGACAAAGACAATCTTGAAAATTCCTTCCTAATCGTTCCGCGTAAGTATAAACAGCTCTTTCATGTTTTCTATTTAGTAAGAAATTTCTCATCACATATCGACGCCACTCTAGTTAAAATTGATTCCACCAACGATTTAGTGAACGTCCATTGGGAAGTGAACTGGGACATTGTAAGGAAATATCAACAAGTGGAGAAAGTTTCGTCATCTACGCTCTCTCACGTCAGATACAGTGATTACGAAGTGGCATTGGTCAACCCAAGTTACAGAGCATCACCGAGCGTCTACATAGTCACGCAAGTGTGCGACGATCTGACACCCAAATCGCTTTTTCCGACTGACGATTTTGAAACTTATATCGATTATTACGAGGAGAAACACGGATTAAAGATCCAGAATCTGGAACAACCGTTGCTGGAAGTAAAGGCGATATCGACCAAAATTAATTGTATAAAACCAAGGTACGGCCGGTGGTTGCGCGCTCAGATGTCGCGGCTATGTAACGTTAATTTTCACATTCTAACTATTATCGATAGGAGTATGAAACCTGGACTAAGCAAACGTAGACGAGCGGATGTGTTGGAAGATTTTGAGGAACATCTAATCCCGGAATTGTGCCGGAAGATATGCTTCCCTGCTCTGTACTGGCTTAAAGCATCTACTTTACCCTCCATTCTTCATAGAGTTACGCAACTCTTAATTGCGGAAGATTTGAGGACAACTATTGTAAGTGAGACTGGTTTAGGGATAATAACACTACCATCCGGCAGTGAATGGCCCGCGTTAGATATGATAGAGAAAGAAATCGAGCCAGCGGAACCGTTATTGGATACAACATTGGACGACACAGTTGAGAGCACGCAAACAGAGCCGGATATAAATGAAGTAGAATTAGACGGTATGTTTTTCGAATGAAAGAAATGTTGGGAAATCTTTCTTATAATAATCCGTGCGTTTGTTTCTTCTATGAACACAGTAATGAACACCGAATCCAATTTGTATCCTTGGCCAAAGGATCAAGAACCTCAAGATATATACCGTAATATAGAAAACATTCAAATGATAGATGTGCAATACTATTGTAATTTTATGCTAACCTGCGATGAAGACGATACCGTTCCGGTAAGCAGCAGCAGCACATATATCAATGACAAATATATATAACTTTTCTTTCTCTTATATTTAGAACAATTTGAACAAAAACATCAATTATATTTCGAAGCCAATAGTAGCGGTGCCACCGTTGTACATTCTTGCGAAAAAACAGTTACATGGGCCTAGTCCGGCAGAAATTATGCAGGTAAGTGAGGAGACACGTCGACAGCAGTGTTATGTACAATTTAATTTAATGGCAAATAATTGACATCTATGACATCGCAAAGTTCCACTCAATTGTAGGCGCTTACTACCAAGATATGCCACGATGGGTTCAATTTGGAACGATTGGAGACTTTGGGCGATTCCTATTTAAAGTTCATTACATCGTTATTCTTGTATCACTCCTTCCCAGAGCTTAGCGAGGGTCAATTGACGGCGATAAAAGGCAAAATCATCGGCAATCGCAATCTGTATTACAGCGGCATTAAGAAGAGCATACCTGGTCGCATGAAGATTGACGAGTTTATGCCTATGAGTACTTTCATCGTACCCGCGTATACGGTATTCCGACCATTGCAAAAGACACTGTTGGACCAGAACGTGTCGTTAAATATATTGTACGAACTTACGATACCAGACGAAGAGAGATTAACCGGAAATGTAAGTGCGAGTACAAGCAATGCGATACAGAACATAATATCGCAATGGAGTTTGGCGGAAAGCCAAACCGGCATGGAACATTATTTGAATATTCAAATCGTGCCCGATAAAGCCGTGTCGGATTGTGTGGAAGCGCTGATTGGCATTTATCTCAGGGTGAGTGCACTTTTTCAGAAAGTGTGTTAAAAAGGTGGATTTATTTGATACATTGGTTTTTGATATTAGAGTACCGGTATAAGTGGCGCTGCAAAGCTGCTCCAGTGGTTCGGCATACTTCCAGATATCGCGATTGATGAATTACTGAACGGTACTAGTTTGTCCCATAATTCTACAATCGGTGGAAATCCGAATGAGCATATGCCATGGGCCGATAGCCTGGAAAGAAGGCTTGGCTATAAATTTAACAATCGGGCATATTTGTTGGAGGTAATCTTGATTATAATATAGTATTGAGACAACTTACGTTCCGCTAATTGTCTTGCATTGCCTCTGTCTGAATATCACTGTTCTATTATGTTTCAGGCGTTCACCCATCCATCGTACTCGGTAAATAGAATAACCGGTTGTTATCAGAGACTGGAATTTCTCGGAGATGCCATTCTGGGTGAATGCAAAAATATCATTTCTTTTTTCTTTCTTTTTTTTTTTCTTTTATAGTCAATGTCCTTTTTAACTGAGCGAACAAACGACGGGTTTTCTCCTTCCAGACCTTTTGATCACGTGCCATATTTACGAATCTTGTGGCAACTTGAATCCTGGTGCTCTCACCGATCTGAGATCTGCGCTCGTCAATAATATAACATTCGCTTGTTTGGCCGTGCGATATGGTCTACATACCTGCTTGCTGGCCTATGCTCCGCAATTGCACGAAATAATCAATCGTTTTGTCAAGTTTCAAGAAGAGCGAGACTATACAATTAATGATGAGGTGTGTATACAATTGGATCTTTATAGCGAATGTAGCGATTATAACTTGTAACGTTTCCTCTCGACAAAGTTGTTATGGGTGTTGCTCGAGGAGGAAGATTGCAACTTGGCCGAGTATATCGACGTTCCGAAAGTCCTGGGAGATTTATTCGAAACATTAATCGGAGCCATCTATCTCGATAGTAACAGGAACTTGACAAAAGTCTGGGAGATGGTTTATTCTTTCATGCACAAAGAAATTGGTAAGGTTCATATATGAATAACGGTATGAATAATCGTGTAACAATAATAATTTAATGAAAATGACATTTCCTAGAAACATTACTAGAGTTTCACGATTTATTAATGTGTTTAATAATATCGTTGGCTTCTTTATCGAGATATTGTATATAATCGTACCTTGTGTTTCACAGATGAATTTAGCAGAAATATCCCAAAAAATCCGGTCCGTGTAATACACGAACATCAAAATGCACATGCAAAATTCCTGTGAGTATCATTTTTCAGACTTGTTCTTATTTTTGTATGTTTGGTGTTATGTTTTTTCTATACAAACACATGTGTCTCTCTCGTTCATTTGTTCCTTTTGCTCACGCATGCACACACGTATGTATATAAAATATTTCTATAATTGCAGTGAAGCAACATCGATCGGAAGCAGAAATATTATTATGGTACCTCTAAAAGTAAACATTGCTGGAAAGGAAAAGATTTTTCATGGTTTCGGATCTAACAAGAAGTTGGCTAAATGTGCGGCTGCAAAACAAGCGTTGAAAAGATTGCGCAGTCCGAAATAAGTCTTTCATATAATTAACGTTATATACATGCGCGTATGTTTTTTACGTCTGTTGATGCTATTTATAGACAATTTATCAACCTGTAGACATATAGACGCGTGTTAAAAGGAAGAAAGAGAAGAAAGACCATTTCAAGACTTAACGGACGTTATCATCGCACGATTATATTTCAGAATCTACAGCAAGATTTTTCGCGCCGTAATTAATATGTTACATGCACCGAGATTTTGTCATTTTTCATATTTCCTTTAGAACGTAAAAAAAAGTTTCCTTCTATTTTTTAACATTAAAGTCCATTAAGTAGAGATTATTTACTCGAGCTTCTCTTGCGGGTAAAAATCCAAAATGAGGACTAACATAAAAAAGAAAAAAAAAAAGATTAGAAAAGTCAACAACATTTCGATCGCTGAAAGTTGCTGCGACAAACACGTCGTTCGCAATCAAACAAAATTGTCACGCAATGTGGCATTTGGTAGATTGTAGAGTAAATTTACGATATAGAAAATATATTATTACATATTTCTGATCCCTTCAAGTTACCCAAGAGTTGGTGTGAATTTTTTAAACATAAAGTAACGAAACGTTCGGTTATTAAATTATACATAATCTCAATAAGAAAGTATTGATATAATATTACATCGAGCTTGTAGCCGGAAGTATACTAAAAATGCATGCCTGAGAAAAAGAAAAAAAAAACTGTACGTATGCTTTCCAATCTATTATCATGTGCCTATGCAATTTCGTTCGTATATAAAATATTTGCATACGTAAGTCATATTACACTCTATTTCTAAAAACAGGATGGGACCGACGATATAAACCGACAAACTGATTGCATTTTGCTCGCAATTCCATTGTAATGTATAAATAGACGATGGTATCGTTTGTATCTTATATGCATGAGCTATCGCTTTTAATTGCCAGAAATTGCTTTCAAATTAGCGAAGCAATGTTATTTGTACAAATGTTTCGACATGTATTTACTATAAATAAAGAAGAAAAAAGGTGTGATTGGCTCAATTGTCGGCTTTCCGCTTTTTCAGAGAAGGTCGATCGAAAACTTGCTTCATACCCGCCGCTTGATTATTATGAAATTTTAAATTTTGCGCAGTCTCTGATATCCACGGCGAATCGAATTGCGTCGTGTCCTGATCCACCAAGTGAGTGTACTTGGTTCTACCGCTGCGGCCGAAGTTCTTCACTTGCATGACCTTTGGTAAGATCGTCTTGTCAAAGTGATCCTCGAGAGTAGCGCCGGAAAAGTCACGTTTGAATATACTGTCGTCTTTGTCCAAGTAGAACGCACCGCGATGATAATACTTTTGCAGGAATTTATACTTCCCTTTGGCTGCTTTATTGGTAATCACTTTCGGATTCAATCGTGCCTCCTGCCTTCGCTCCTCCTCCGCCATATTGCGTATACGCTCAATCTCCAAACGCTCCTTTTCCATCTGTTCTCTCTCCTCGCGGTCTCGCTTGATTCTCTTAAGCTCGCGCAATTTCCACGCCTCGTACTCCACCTCGTCGTTCTCGTCGTCCGTGCAGACGTCGTTCAATTTGTTCTCCTGCTCTACGTTACCCTTGCCGACCTGCGTTTCCTTCCGCACCGCCTCCTCCACCATTCTCAAGGTCTGCCGCTTGCGTTCCTCCGCCAATTTCTTCGCCTCGGCCTCCGCTTGCTTCTGCCGCATCGCCTCCTTCTCCTTCTCCATCACCGTAATTCGGTCCTTCTTGCGGACGAACACGGGTTTCAACCGCGGCCCGGTCTCCTCCTCGGAGTCGGTGTATTCCTCGTAGTACGAGCTCTCTTCCGAGCTCTCGCCCGACCTCTCCTCTTCCTCGCCTTGTATCAGTTCCTCCTCTGTGTCCTTCTTCGAGAGTACACGTTGCTTCAGAGCCTCTCGCCGCTTCTCTATCTCTGAATCTGACAGTTCCTCGTCCTCGGACGTGTCGGAGCTCTCCAATTTGATCCTCTCCCGAGTTCTCTCCAGCTCGATCTCGATCAGCTCGGGCTCGTGGATGTGTCTGTGCCTCTCGGTGCGTACCTCAGCAGGCGCCTCCTTTTGCCGCGTTAATCTTCGCAGACGTGGGTCGTCCTCGTCCTTGGTCCTCGCGTGCGAATGCACGGGAACGTCCGTACCGACGGTTTCGTTCTCATCGTAGCTCTTGAGCGCACGCTTCTCCAGAAAGTCTTCTTCTTCCGACTCCTCGTCCGAGCTTGCCGCGGCGTAATCGGGTCGTTTGCCGGAAACATAACGATGCACCTTGACCTTTTTCATCGACAATTCACCTGCAAAAGAGACATTACTAAAGAGATCGAAAGCAGTCATTTGGAGGACATAAACGGACGCGTGTATTAAGTCTATTAGACGGAGGGATGACATCTCTCTGTCAGATCGAAAGGCAACAAATTACTTGACGTATCCTGTTGTAAACATTTCGCGAAAGCCCTTTAGATCGAGAGTCACATATCGTGCTTTTCGTCGTCCTAACCTTTGTCATTTTTCACAGGCACCGCACCCGCTGTGCTTTGTATTCCCATGGGTGCGGGCGCCAAGGAGTTATTGGTCACAAAATAATCCATCATCATCTTGATGCCGTTTCGATGGCTCTCTCAACTTTGGTTAGCTGGGAAGCTCAGCGGCATTACACCACTTGCAACAGATGGAATGAGATATCAGACAAATGCGTTCCGTCGACGGAACTTGACGCAAAAAAATACAACGAACAAAGGTGAGCAGTGAATAAATGTCTATTTACTTTCTGTTCGCGCGCACATTGTAACTAGGTTAAGTTTACCTTGCCTTCGTCCTCATTCAACATCTGACCAAGAGGAAGGATTTCGACGGAAAAGCAACAGCCAATCAGAACTCGCGCCAGTAGCGAGTCAGTTTATCTACTATTTAGCTTGCTACCAGCGCGACTGCCTTTCTTTCGTAACGTCCCATACATTTTTACCATTGATAGTATAACATTTACCAACTCGTATGGTACATTAAATAAGTATGAACTAGGCTTAAGGAAATACGCATCAATTACATTTAATGCTCCCTTCGACCGCCATAAATTTTAAATTTAATCGACGATTAACTCAACGGAATTGACCAATCGCATTGCGTTCCGTTCAGCGGTTGGTCAATTTTAAATAACATTTTTTTATTTGTAAAATAAATTATATTATTTCGTATATATTATATATCATAATAATAATTGATAAATGCCACCGTGAAGAAGTGAACGAAACGTCAGAAATAAATCCATGAAAGACGCGGCGCTAATTCGGAATGCCAAGTGAAATATTTATAAATGCCAATCGGTGAGATCGCAAAAATAATAACTGATTTTTAAACAATTTTTCATCAACCTATTTCGCTCTTATTTTACCTGCTTTAGAAAATAACCTTCCGGGACTGAAGAACTGAAGTCGCCGAAATCAATGACTAATATACTTAATTGCTAAGGTTATTAGGTGAGTGATCAGTCAAATCGAAAAAATAATCGCCATCAGACGGTCAGGATGGACAGTATCGAAGTTAAATATTAAAAAGTCGACTATTTGGCATTAAAACGATTGAATTGTATCGATTATCTCTACTGTACGCTCGCAACAACAGATGATTCCGTCAGTGAGAAAATTAACGATCGAACTGACTCGACTTTCGCATGGAATCGTTTGATTTCAATCGTGTAAATAATCGATACTCGGGATCATTTTCGAGCAGGAAATTCTTTGTATACACAAGTCGAACGAGTTTCTCTCGAATTTGCCGTCACGCATGCGGTCGTGCATATGAATTAGCTCAATTATCTCGTTAATTGCTCTCCTTTCTGTCGTAACTCGTCGTAAAAAGGAAATATTACGATAATAGCAATTATCGTGTGATTTTCAAGGACTGTGAAGAATGTCGACGCGATATTGTTGGTAGAAATTCAGATTGATTTCTGTCGCGTACTATCCTGAAGCGAGGCGATTAGACGACAGTGAGCGGCGTAAGCATGGGCCGTATCTCTCCTTCCGATGCAAAAGTCGCATCTTTCTGCGCTAACGAGACGAGAAGGAGCCAAACTGAGGTAAATTAACGTAGTTCTCTTTTATTGACTTCCGTCAGTTGTGATGTCGTCGAGATTTCATTCCGTAACAAAAGTATGATGATATTAATTTTGTCAAGTTCAAAGCAACGGTGTATGTATAAATTCAAGATATAGTCGCGAATATATATACGTAATGGAGGCGGCAGGCTATTCTTCGCAAAGCAGAATCGAAGATGATGAAAGTCGAAACTCGACATCGCGTGATGAGGAAACCGCGGAGCCACGATTCACGTGTTCCTTGTACATCTCGCGTGGTCTTCAAGAGCAAAGCCACATAGGTATATTAAACGTATCAGCTGAAATAAGAATGTTTCGTCATTCAATCGTTGGATCAGGTTGCGAGTTGTTGCGATCCCATCTCGAGGAGGCAATCGCTGCCGCCGAGCCGTTCTCGGCTTGGCGAGTCACAGAAACGCCGTGCGGCCTGATTGCCGCCTTCGCCAGAGAAAACGACGCCGAGAAATTGCTGCAACGCGGCGATCTAGGCCAAGTGTTCGGAACACCTGTACAGGTATACGTTGGAAAATCTTCCTAATTCTCCAGAAGATGCTCAGGAAAATGGGTGGCAACAGGTAGCGCGATTCTCAGCGAGGGACTCTCGGTACCGCCAGGCCGTACTACTGAGAGGCGTGCCGTGGGCCATACCGCTCCAGGATATCGATTCGGCTCTGACCAAGCAAGGGATCGCCATCGGGAACGTCGAGCGTGCGAGGCAATTTGTTCGAGTAGAGGTGACCGCATAACTTCTGGTATTATCTCGCTAAATATCGCGCGTTAAGCGGAATAAGAGAACGTGTCGCGCGGGTGACACAGAAAACTGAGCGTAAGGTATGAAATTTTCTTCTGCGAGATCGTTCGTTTTCTTCCCGTCTCGCACATAGGTTTTCGACGCGGGCCACTACGAGGCCTTGCTGCGCCAAGGTCTGGACTTCTTCGGGGCGGCGCGCTTCAGCGCTGTCCCGGAGAGCTGGTGGCGTGGCGGTAATAATACCGGATGCTCCAGCAGTATGCTCTCGCAGTGCGGTGACGCAGTGACGTCGAGTGTCGCCGATGGAGTATTGCAGTGCTACCGTTGCCAGGGTTTCTGGCACGTCGCTGCCAACTGTCGTCATCTTCCACGTTGCGTACGCTGCGGTGAACCGCACAGCGTCGAATTCTGTCCGAGACCGCGTAACAACCCTATATGCTGCCACTGCTCCGGGCCCCATCACGCCGGTACTTTTCTTCAATTTTCCTTCTATTCCCCGTTCAATCGGATGGAAGAGTCGCGCGAATAATAAATTGCTTGCAAAAATGTCAATCACCCGACATAAATCATTTCTATTCCTAGCGCGTTCTACTAAAAAGACTTCGTGCACTGAAATTATCGGCGCGCGTTATACCCTCGTCTATAATCTCTTTCATTTTTTATTACAGGATATAAGCAATGTCCAGTCCGGCTACAACTGTCCAACGCGACGCCCGTGAGCATCACGTTGAGCACGGCTCGTACGGGAGGTCAATATCCGAACAAATCGAATCATTCGTTGAGGCAAGGCCACTGTTAAGAATCGTGCTTATCGAGTTAAATTATACGCAAGAAAACATCATTAGCGAACAGCCACTTTCATAACTTCGAAATGAGCGCGTTACGTTTCTTCGCGTTGCGTAACCATTTAGCCGCGAGCGAAATTTCGTGATACGGCACGTGAAAGTGAACAAATGTCGTATAAATAAAATGCCGGAAAGTTCGATCGGGAGAAATTCCGCTCAACGCGTACGTAAACGTAGATTTTTTTTCTACACAAGAGCAAGTTGCTTCTAGAACAACGGTTTAAAACTTACGCACTATTGTGTATGTGTTTTCTTTTAGATAGACGTGCAAATATATATGAGTTTGGAGACATTAATCCATCCTTTGCTAGATCGATTTCCCCCTTTTTTTCGCGCTCTCTAAAAACTCCGTAAATTTGCTATCCGGAGAGTTTCGTCCCGCTTTCTTCGTCCTAGTCCCCGTGAATGTGGGTCTCCCCACCTGGGTGTACAGTCGCCACCACCAGGTGATCGCGATCCAAGGAGAGGGAAGGTATACCTGCGCGGGTGTAACGTCATTCGATCGGCTAGTCCGGTCCTGTTCGTGAAGGCCGATATATTCCCCCATTGCATATAATTTACCGCACGCGCCGTTTAAAAAATTCAGTCGGTGCAGCGTAATGATATCGGCGAGCCGAGGAAGGTGTTTCTTTTTAATAACTTTGTCTTTTATATAAAACGAATCATTCGAAGATACATATATATCGTGCAAGTACTAAGCAATGTCCCAAGGTAAGTAAGTTCCCAAGATTCCGTTCGAAATATCGCAAAATGATGAAAAATTGTACGTAATGTTTTTCAATTTTAGAATTTTCTCGTATCGTCCGTAAATAAATATCGGGGAATGCTGTTACCGAATTCTACATGTCGCGAGAAAGGGATTCGTCATGAAGGATTTACAAAGATATGAGATCACGTAACGACGACCAGCAAAAAAAAAGCGATACAAAGAAAATGCCCTCGGCGGACTTACGGACATTCCTTCTTGTCGTGTCGGCGTGCAGTTTAACTACGCAACAGCCAACATTCTTCAGAAGTACATTCAAAGGTCTGGACAGCCTTGCCTCGAGCGCTACGGCATTAGCAAATGACGAGATAAGAGCTGTTTATTATCACGAACAGACAGTGGCAGTAGTAGACCTTGGTCCGAGAAATATACTGCACGATTGCGATATAATCGAAGTATAGTAAGTGGTCTCAAGTCGCTAAAAAAAAAGAAAAAAACATAAACTACCGAAACCAGTTTTCGGAGTATTTCATATTTTTTTTCGTGCTACCTTGACATGCATCGTTGACTCTTTCAGCGAGCCATCGGAGGCTACCGAAGTAATACGAAACTTGTCTATCACTTCGCACCCACAAGTGGTGTCCTTTCAGGACATTACGAGACTCATGCAACAATGCGAATTGTTGGATAGTATTCGCGTGGAAACTACGTCCACTTTGCCTACAAACGTGCTGAGCAGAGGAACTCGCATAGCCGCAAGTTCCATTACTTTGCTTTCCGGCATTCTACCGGGTTGGTTGTTCATATGATCGTGCGCGCAATTTCTCGCGAATCTTATTTTAACGAAGATCGATCATTCCAGGAACGAAATGGTGCGGCACGGGTGACATTGCTGAGAATTATCACGACTTGGGTGACGTACCCTACGTCGACAGGTATTATTAAACTTACGTTACTGAGCGGCACAAAGATACGATCGAAAACTTGAACGGATGCAAATCTGCTTTTCAGATGCTGTCGCACCCACGATCTTTGTCCTATAAAGATCCGTGCACAACAAACTCGATACAACCTCACGAATTATTCCCTGTATACCAAGTAAGAGCTTATTAGCGGAATTTCAAGTGTAAATCACTAAATTTCCTTCGATTTAAGAGTGAATTTTATTAAACCTTTAGCATAATGTATTTTGTGACTAAGTCGTGTATTATTTCATTTTAATTGTCAATTCTTCCATTTGTATTACTTAATCAAACAAATGTTATTCAATATTGTCTTTACCTTTCTTTACTTAGAATTTCATTTTAGTTATTTCGACGCATTCAATCTTCAACATTTACAGATCGCATTGTACTTGTGATAAGGCGCTTTATCAATGCTTAAAAGCTGCCAACCATCCCACGGCGAATCTATTGGGGCAAATATACTTCAATATTGTCAAAGTAGAGTGTATAGAAGACATACGGACGAACCGACACATCTCCTCCTCGGAACCATTAAGGAAATTTGTACCTGTGAAGAGAGAATATTAGTAGTCGTAGAGGATATTTCTTTTAATTATCTAACAATCTTCATAAAGCGCGTGATACTGTTCGAAAGTTTGCCCCATTTAGAAATCTATAAAATTGCTCATTTGTAAGAATTATAATTGAAGGTTACGACATTTGTACGCACTTTGATTTTAATTTCGCAGGCATAATGTACCTTCATAAAGGAGTTGTTCTTTACATACAATTTGCGATTGACAAGATAGCCTTATCTAATGACGACAAAAAGGGTATGATGCCTCTTATACATTGACTGATACCGGATGATCGGTGATTGTACAAATTTCCTGCAACAATTCATCCAGATAAATTGTTTCTTTTACTATATCCTTGTAAAAGAAGTGTACCTATTAACCAGAGAGCTTCCTTTCTAATATGTATACATTGATGCGATAATAATTTATTCAATAAAGCACACAGATCTTCCTGTGAATATTCTGTATTTCTCAGAAGAATGTCCGTCTTATCTTCATAAGAGTTAGCTAATATACGTATAGATGCTGTAATCTAGAAAGCAGGAAAAGTTGAAATAATATTGTAATTGTACAAAAAATGTGTATTTTATAGAATGTATTTATGTAGTTTTGTCATAACAACCTCGCTGATATTATCTAGCCCAGAGTGATAAAGATAGTCAACAATTTGTGACAAGATAGGTGAGAAATACGGATGTGTGATGAATGAAGAGGACAACAGAGCTAACAGCCAAGTAAAATTTGGATCCTTGTACAGGAGATTCTGTTTTACAGTAGCTTCAACAAGTTCTAACATTTCCTCTTCTCTATAAATATTAAAAATGCATTAGACTTGTGCGCAAGTTTCATTTCTTGCTTTTGTGTCAGTTGATTTATATGAGAAAAAAAAAACTGCTACTTACGATATTTCATGAAACGCTACATGCACGTAATGTAAAGTTGCATATATTACAGAAGGAAGAATCATATCGTCACAATTGTTTAATAATAAAATTAAGTGTTTCAAACAGTGTTGCGCATGTAGAATGGAAAAAGCCTTGTAGCTTCCTGCAATTAAGTTGCCAATTGTCCAAATACATACATCCTGATAAGAAATAAATTACCGTACTTTAGATCTAAGTAAGCAACTATCAGCTTAATGCTACTCAGAATAGATTACCAGCAATGCATAGTTTAAGCTTTCCAGTTCGGTAAGCAAATATGGGATAACTGCTTTTCCTAATGCTGTACAGGCTTTAGCATTTCCAAGAGCGATGTTGCAGCAACAATTTGCTGCGTATAATTGAAGAATTGGATCGTTACCAGAAAGATCACGTATCAAGCCTGGTAAACTTTGATCTATTTTTAAGAAGGAATTTATATTTTCCTCACACTAGGAAGAGAATGTACGGAATTACAAATAATGTTACATTAGTTTCTTATCAGTTATGAACATGATGATATTGTTTCTCGCTAGACCTTAAATAAAGATAGAACGACGCTCGTAGTTGCGAGCTCTAGGTGGAATCTTGTATATATGTTGCGTTTAACAAGATTAATCAATTACATCTATAGAATATACCTGAATAAGAGCGTTGGGCAAATATCTGTAATCCTCAGAGGATATTCTTTTCTTCTTGAGAAGCTTCGCTCTTTCACTAATGTAATCGATCGAAAAGAACCCATTCCCAAATGATTCTCCTAATAAGCTTGTGCGATTTTTATTCCAGGCAGACACACGATTCTCCTTTCTTTTCATTAAAGTAGCTTCTCGTAATCTCGTTCGCACTGTCTCAAACGTGTTATTATCATCCGTCCAGAGTTCTGTGGCCTCATCTACTTGATCACTGATGGACTGCATCTTGATTCGTATGTGATCAAATCTTTATATCGTACCTATGATGAATTTCTTATCATCACCCGTTCCGTGTAGGTTAAAAATTTTTGAACAGCCTGATTCAAACCTCTCTCTCTCTCTCTGTTCATTATATGACTTACCAACACGAAAGATTATCTACGATAGATTTATCATCTTCCAATCGAGTGACAGTTTTGCTAACGAGTTGAAGAAAATAAAGTAGGTGGCGCCTAAAGCGAAGTTTTACAATTTAAACTCTATGCCTTAAGAAATTGACCAATAACCAGTTGAATCGCTTTTATAGATCTCGGACAGGCCGAATATAAAAGTTAGTAGAAATTACTAGTAACTTTTACCGGAAGGTTAGAAAACAAAGCCCCCTGTTGTAGATTCAGCTCAAGCACAGCTCATATTTGGTCGAACAGTTCTATACGTTCGTTTATTGGCCTTGGTTTATCACATTTTCAAATCAAATAATTTTTCACTGCGAAAACTCAATTGAAGGTTCGAGCGCCATTTTTCGTTCAACTCGAAATATCTCGAGGAAAATTAACGACGACGTAACTAATGTGGTTAAAAAGTACTAAAAGAGACTTTAAAGTGCTTCTCCATTTTTACGAAAGTTAGCTTGTTGAATTGTGTTTTATCAGAATGGAAAATACGTCTGAGCAGCCCTTGAGTCATACTACTTGAGAAAGTACGTCCGGCGTTTAGTCACACGGTTTCTCGTTAAATATAGTGGAAATTTCGTAACTAAATTACAGAAATAACGGGTCTAATAATCTGCCGGTTAGTAAACCCGTTGTTAAAAGAACGTTCTTTTAGGGGAATAATCCAGTGTCAGCGGGAAAGTTCCCACGGGGTTGCATGCTATATGCAGCCATCGTTATATTTACGGTGATTCACTTGCCCCTCTTGTTCCTTCTCTCATTGGCCCGTCAGCTGTGCTCGGCGTGTTCCCGGACACCTCGTGTCTCGTAAGATTGCGAAATCACCGACAATGGAGGAGGTTACGAAGCTGGAACACCTGTCTCTGGTGTCGAAGATTTGCACAGAGCTGGAAAATCACTTGAGTTTGAACGACAAAGACTTGGCCGAATTTATTATTCATCTGGCCGAGAAAAACAACACATTCGCAACGTTCAAGAAGGTATTGATCGAGAATGGGGCCGAGTTTCCGGATTCCTTCATGGCGAATCTCTTGAGGATAATACAGCACATGAAGCCTGCCAGAGCGGAGAAGCCGTCCGTGAGTAAGCAGGATGAACTGGCTGAAAAATTTCCCGCATTAGCGCTGCCGAACGAGGAGCGTTTGAGCAGGAAGGACGACGAGGATATCGTGAACGACGTAATGGCCTCTCTGGAAGCGTTCGCGCCGTCGAGTAAGAAGCGAGCAACCGCGAGCAGCGAGAGGAGCAACGGGCAGGAGGAAAGGAGAAGCAAACGCGCGAGAAGATCGCGAGACGGACGGAGGCGACACAGATCGCGTTCCCGGCGCAGATCGAAAGATCGAACGCGGCGAGAAGGTCGCAGGAGGTCGTTGTCGCGCAGACACTCGAGGAGACGTTCGAGGTCCGTCGAGGAGCAGCTCTCCGTGGAGCCGGAAGTGGGTAAGATTTACGCCGGTAAAGTGGCGAACATCGTGCCGTTCGGCTGCTTCGTCTCGCTGGAGGGCCTGAAGCGCAGGTGGGAGGGCCTGGTGCACATCTCGCAATTGAGGAGGGAGGGCCGCGTGGCCAACGCGAGCGACGTGGTCTCCAGGGGCCAGAGGGTCCTCGTGAAGGTCCTCAGCGTCGGCGGGCAGAAGGTGTCGCTGAGCATGAAGGACGTGGAGCAGGAGACCGGCCGCGACCTGAATCCCGTCGTGCCGATCGCGAAGGCCGAGGAGGACGAGAAGCACCTGCGCAATCCGGACCGGCCGACGTCGCTGCTGGAGCTGCAGGGGAATTACGACGAGGACGAGACGTACTCGCGCAAGCGCGTGCAACGGCTCTCCTCGCCGGAGAAGTGGGAGATCAAGCAGATGCTGGCGGCCTCGTGCATCGACAGGAGCGAGCTGCCGGAGTTCGACACGGAGACGGGCATCCTGCCGCGCGAGGACGACGAGGAGGAGGACGTGGAGATCGAGCTGGTGGAGGAGGAGCCGCCGTTTCTGCACGGCCACGGCAGGGCGCTCGGCGACCTCAGCCCCGTGCGCATCGTCAAGAACCCGGACGGCTCGCTGGCGCAGGCGGCGATGATGCAGAGCGCCCTGGCGAAGGAGCGCAGGGAGCAGAAGATGCTGCAGCGCGAGCAGGAGATGGACTCGGTGCCCACCGGGCTGAACAAGAACTGGATCGACCCGCTGCCGGAGGCGGAGAGCAGAACCCTGGCGGCGAACATGCGCGGCATCGGCCTGCAGACGCAGGACCTGCCCGAGTGGAAGAAGCACGTGATAGGCGGCAAGAAGTCCTCCTTCGGCAAGAAGACCAACCTGACGCTGCTGGAGCAGCGGCAGAGCCTGCCGATCTACAAGCTGCGCGACGACCTCGTAAAGGCCGTGACGGACAATCAGATCCTGATAGTGATCGGCGAGACCGGCTCGGGCAAGACTACGCAGATCACGCAGTACCTGGCGGAGGCGGGGTTCACGGCGCGCGGCAAGATCGGCTGCACCCAGCCGAGGCGCGTCGCCGCGATGAGCGTGGCGAAGCGGGTGGCCGAGGAGTTCGGCTGCTGCCTCGGCCAGGAGGTCGGCTACACGATCCGCTTCGAGGACTGCACCGGCCCGGAGACCAGCATCAAGTACATGACCGACGGTATGCTGCTGCGCGAGTGCCTGATGGACCTCGACCTCAAGATGTACTCGGTGATAATGCTGGACGAGGCGCACGAGCGCACGATTCACACCGACGTGCTGTTCGGCCTGCTGAAGCAAGCGGTCGGCCGGCGGCCCGACCTCAAGCTGATCGTCACCAGCGCCACCCTCGACGCCGTAAAGTTCTCCCAGTACTTCTTCGAGGCGCCGATATTCACGATACCCGGCCGCACCTTCGAGGTCGAGGTGATGTACACGAAGGAGCCGGAGACGGACTATCTCGACGCCGCCCTCATCACCGTCATGCAGATCCACCTGCGCGAGCCGCCGGGCGACATTCTGCTCTTCCTCACCGGCCAGGAGGAGATCGACACCGCGTGCGAGATACTTTACGAGCGCATGAAGTCGCTCGGCCCGGACGTGCCGGAGCTGATCATCCTGCCGGTCTACTCGGCCCTACCCTCGGAGATGCAGACGAGGATATTCGAGCCGGCGCCGCCCGGCTCGCGCAAGGTCGTCATCGCGACGAACATCGCCGAGACCAGCCTGACGATCGACGGCATCTACTACGTGGTGGACCCGGGCTTCGTCAAGCAGAAGGTCTACAATTCCAAGACCGGCATGGACAGCCTGATCGTCACGCCGATCAGCCAGGCGGCGGCGAAGCAGCGCGCCGGCCGGGCGGGCCGGACCGGCCCCGGTAAGTGCTACCGCTTGTACACGGAACGGGCGTATCGCGACGAGATGCTGCCGACGCCGGTGCCGGAGATCCAGCGCACGAATCTCGCCACGACGGTGCTGCAGCTCAAGACGATGGGCATCAACGATCTCCTGCACTTTGACTTTATGGACGCGCCGCCGGTCGAGTCGCTCATCATGGCGTTGGAGTCGCTGCACAGCCTGAGCGCCCTGGACAACGAGGGCCTGCTGACGCGTCTCGGCCGACGGATGGCCGAGTTCCCCCTCGAGCCGAACCTCTCCAAGATGCTGATCATGAGCGTCCACCTCCAGTGCTCCGACGAGATTCTCACCATCGTCAGCATGCTCTCCGTGCAGAACGTCTTTTACCGGCCCAAGGACAAGCAGGCCCTGGCCGATCAGAAGAAGGCCAAGTTCAATCAGGCCGAGGGCGATCACTTGACGCTGCTGGCGGTCTACAACTCCTGGAAGAACAATAAGCTGAGCAACGCCTGGTGTTACGAGAACTTTGTGCAGATACGGACGCTGAAGCGCGCCCAGGACGTGCGCAAGCAGCTCTTGGGTATAATGGACCGGCACAAATTGGACGTTGTGTCGGCCGGCAAGAACACCGTGCGCATACAGAAAGCGGTCTGCTCCGGCTTCTTCAGGAATGCCGCGAAGAAGGATCCGCAGGAGGGATACAGGACGCTCGTCGACAGCCAGGTGGTTTACATACATCCGAGCAGCGCGCTCTTCAATCGCCAGCCGGAGTGGGTGATCTACCACGAGCTGGTGCAGACTACCAAAGAGTACATGAGAGAAGTGACGACCATCGACCCCAAGTGGCTGGTGGAGTTTGCGCCGGCGTTCTTCAAATTTAGCGACCCCACCAAGCTCAGCAAATTTAAGAAAAATCAGAGACTGGAGCCGCTTTACAACAAGTACGAGGAGCCGAATGCATGGAGGATATCCAGGGTTCGCAGACGGCGCAATTAACTTTTCATTTCAAAACGAGCGATTGGACTGGTAGATACTTTTATTGCGACAAGAAGCATTTCGTGTGTGTGTGTGTATTCATCTCGCTTAGGAAACAAGTGACGAAAACAATCTGTAATGTTGCGAACGTTTAGATTCGATATTTTTTATTATCCTTGTATAAACAGACATCATAGAAAACGTGATGCGAAACGTATTATATACAAGAATGCAGCTGTAAGATGAAGATTATTTACAAATTGCGTGTATATATACTTGTAAACATTTTGTAAATATAAATGTATCGATTCACGTTGTGTATCTCTGGTGTATTCCTCCGGTATATTCGTAAACCTGCTTTTTCCGCTAAAATATATATATAAATTCTAATAATCAGTCTTTCAGAAAAGAGGACAGTTTTGTGAGATTACAAGTTTTCAGTCTTTTCCCTCTTGATTGATTATTAAATTTATTAAATAAATACATTCTCGATAAACATTCAATAAGATGACAGGTGGAAGAACATTTATTTATTTATTTTTTTTCCTTTCACTCGTTCTTCGCTTTTTTTTTCTTTTAGATTGCACTGTAGTAATAACCGAGTCAATTATTCGTGGACGCATATACATACAACGCGAAACTCGATCGAAGTACGTGTTTGTATACAAAAGGAATCCGTAAGAAATTTATAATCTTTCAGAAAAGACGAATCGATATATGTATATATTGTAGTCAGGAAATATCACTTCTCGCTTCCGTGCTTGAGATTCGGTTTCTTTTGTTTTTATATGGTAGTTCAATAATACTATTTCTTGGCTCGAACTGGTATAAAGTGCATTCTCGGAAAAAACAGCATCCTATACAAGTTGAACTATTGAGACTGTTGCTTCTTTTTCACTAGTTCCACCAATTGCCTGTAGCGCACTTGACATTCATCCTGCGGACAATAATTACGACAAAAGTTACGAGAGAACAAATTTCAATAGGGCGAATTTCTCCATAATTGTCTCCTAACAATGTCACACCTTTGTCTTTCCCTCGACGCAATTTGAAATCTTCTCCCACCTATCTATAGATGCACCTTTGGGATACTTCGTTAGAGCCGCTTCCAACGCCCTTTGCTGTTCTTGACTCCACTCGGCAGCGTTCACTGTACCTTCGATGCGGGTCTTAATCTTCTTTGGTCTTTCCTCCGCAAGGATCTCCTCTGTTGATTCGCCAGGTTTCAAACCTTCGTCCTTTACCTGAAACAAAATATGCGCGTCAGTACGATGCTGGGAAATGTACAGAGTAGGTTCAGAAAACCAAACCTTCTTAGCCATATGTGTAACTTCTGCGACGGTACGATTCATAATATTCGCAATTTTCTCCCATCGTTCTGGAGTTCCGCCAGGATATTTTTTTACATACTTGATCAGTTCTAATATGTCGTTATCAGTCCAGAAACCACCCGACAACGTTGGCTTTTCATAGACATGATTTGTATAATCACAGTCCTTCTTTGCGGTCTCTTTAATATTACTACCGCTTCTTTCTTGCGGAGTAAAACCGGCCCTACGTTTCCTAACTCCGCGCGACACTATTTCCGGCTCAGATTGTTCGTTTTCTCGTTCCCTAGAAAAGTTGGGCCTATATTCGGCTATTTCCAAGTTGAATAAATTGCAATATATATATATATATATTCATATAGGAAATCACCGTATACTCACAATGTCTCTTCCTCCTCTTGCTTCTTTCTTTCCTTTCTATCTTTCAAGAGCTGAATCGTAAGGCGTACGGTAGATGGTGTAGCTATTATAGAACCTATCAGCCATCTCGGCAACTGAAATGGAAGAGTGTTCCACATGGTTGGAGTGGGAATTTTTTCTAAGATGTCAGCCAAATCTGGGACATCCATCTTGCTCTTTCTATTTTTCTTTTGCATCTTTTGAAGCTTGCTACCTAAAACTTGTTCCTGCAATCATAACACGACAGATACAGAATTATATTCAGCAAATATTTCCAATGTATAAAAACACTTACGTAAGTGTATCGTTTTTCAAAGTATGCCGCCCATGCTACAAGATATTGTCCTATCGTGATAACTGTGAATAAAATGACACTCATTTCCAATAGTCCCATTTTTCGCACATGACGGTAGTAGTACACCGCCGATCGCCAGTTTGGCAAACCGTTGACAAGCACATTGTCATACCGTTGTCTCTTTCCAGGATCTTTTAAAATATCATAAACAGCAACTAACTATGGGACACAAATATGGAAAACTGCCAGTGTAATTTCAATATAAATCTTTCGTACACTTTTTTTCCTCATAAATTCATATACCTTCCTAAATTGTTGTTCCGCATCCTCCGCGGAATTTTTGTCTGGATGCAACTGCAACGACAGACGTCTGAAAGCTTTCTTAATCTCGGAGGCATTTGCAGACTGAGAACAAAAAATGACTGATCAATTGTCAAAGTTCACTGCGCACGTATTGTCGTGCAATTTTACACCTGCAAGATATACCTGCGTAACACCCAAGACTTCGTAGAAATTTTGATTGACCTCCTCGACGACATCGAAAACCTCCAATTCGTCGTTATCCCACGCATGGGAAAATCTAAACGCGTTCAGAAAATAGAAAATCTCAAAAGTGATCAATCGTACGTTCATTTTTGTCCACCGCATTTAGACATAGTTATTAACACAGGAGCGTTTCTTCGGTGTCTTGTGGCAAAATTGAATTTTACTAGGACATAGTGTTGCTTTCAGCGAAGACTTGTCGGACGCGACGCGCGGAGAATCAGGTTAGAAATTCTCTTTGACGTAGCTGCCACATTGCAATTATCTCTTATCCGCTATTGCAATACGTCAAACGTTCCGTTTGGGGCGCTCTCGCGCTTCCAGTGTTATTCCTTTAGCACGCAATGACCGAATAACATTTGCAGCGTGTGAGCGCTCAAACGGAACGCTACCAAAATACAGATGAATCGATTCTTTTTTTCTGCAAAAAGGATCGATTATCCTCTCGATATTTTCAAATTCGATTTCAGTTCTCCACTAATCCCGGCTAATCCCGTCGTCGAGAATGGTTAAACTACATGCTCGAAATTCCTCTCTTTTTACTTTACACGTCGGTTCAGATCAGAGGAACCTTTGTTCTTCAGGCAGTTTGCCCTTTCTTTTTCCTTCCGTTCCTCCCTTTATTAGGTCATTACGTCTCTCCGCAGATGCTCCATTAGTAACAATTTAGAAAAGTTAAATTACTTCCGACGCCTTTTAGATCGATTGTCATAAATCGATTGCTTTTATATAAGCGATTATTTTTGAACGAATGGCTTTGTTTCTTCAACGAATGGCGCTGCCATACTTACTTCGACAGTGGTTGTCAATTGAGAAACCGTTATCTAAAATGGATTTCGATGTTAACGGTACATTACCAACGTTTAATGAGAGATGCAACGATAGTCAAGATATAAAAGGTGCCAATTCTGTGAGAGTTGTATACAACGTATGGATACGCGTTATCTCACACGCTGTTATTTTACAGATTTCGAGAATTCGAACGAAATATAAAGAGACATAACCTACAAATTCACTCGTCCTATTTATACAGGGCATTTCCGATTAATTAGTCATAGAGATTCCGTTTGATCAGCTAAAATGTTGGAGGGACTTGTAGCTTGGGTGCTGAACAATTATCTCGGCAAGTATGTGGAAAATCTGAATACGGATCAGCTGAGCATAGCTCTGTTATCAGGTGAGGAGGTTATGTTCTGCTACGCATTTAAACTTGCAGAATTTTGCAATTTGTCACGTGTATCTTGTAAGATGTATGCGGCGCAAGAGTTTCGGCCACTTAGAATCTTAGAATCCGAACAAACTGACTCACTCTGTGGACATGTTGGTGTCACTTGAGGAAATTTCTTGATTTCTCTTGTTCTCTCGCAATAAGTTGATATTTTTCAAAAAGGACATCGTATTTTAACAACAGGGGAAGTCGAATTAGAGAATCTGCCCTTGAGACGAGAAGCTCTACGTCATATTGGACTACCAGTAGAGATCAAGGCTGGATTTATCGGTAAAATTAGACTGCAAGTACCAGTTAGACAAATAAGGACTGCGTCATGGGTGATAGGTATGGAGCAGCTTTATCTGGTAGCGGGTCCGATTAATCTGGATGAGGTAAAGAATCTTGTTGAAAAATTTACTACAAAAAGTCTGCAACTTTGATGGGTACTTGTTGATAAAAATTGCGCATTGAGGATGTCTTACATTTGTAAGATGTTTACACGATAAATTTGAGAATACATTCTCCTATAGTATGACAGTGAGGCGGAGGAACAAGCGATACTGGAGTACAAGCTCAGTCGATTAGACGCTTTGGAAGCAAGATGGAGAGCTGACGTAGACCATGATCCTGGTTATTACGCCACAAGTTACAGTTCGTGGGTCAACTATGGCACGTCTCTGATGACAAATATCATTGAAAATTTACAGTTGAACATCAAGGATGTTCACATTAGGTATGAAGATGGTGTTACACTACCCGGTGGTAAGCATCTCTCTATGACGTGAAAAATATCGATTTGCGTGTGATTGACATTATCGAATTAAAAAAACAAACAAACTTGCCTTTTACACAGATAACGGTATCGCGCTTGGTATTACAATCGGAGCGCTCACTGCTCAAAGTTGCGACGCCAGTTGGATACCTGGTTCCACATCTTGGAACCTAACGGACGCCTCTTTTAAATTAATGGAACTCGACAGTCTTGCGATTTATTGGAACCATGTGAAGAAGGACCAACTCTTTAGCGGTCTCAATCTCGGCGATTTAGCTGTAAGCTGTGGAGAGTTGACCACTCTCTGTGCATTGACATTAATGGATCGGATTTTCAGATCGCCATGAGCAAATTGAGAAACGGCACGAAAACACACATTTTATCACCGGTGAACGCGAGAGCGCACGTTAAAAGAGACCGAACCGAACGTCCGTTGAGATCCATCAATAAGCCGCGTATGGTGGTGGATTTACTTCTGGACGAAGTGCCGTTGTCCGTAACAGACGTAAGTGGTGTGTAGTCGCGGTCACACGATCGATACACGCGCGGAGTAACGTATCACTGTCGCGATCACAGGTTCAATACGAAGAGATGGTAAAGTGTGTGAAGGAACTCGAGCGGATAGATCGTCGCAAGCAACAGCGGCGGTGCAGACCCAAAGTGTCCGTGAGGGAGGATTGCACGGAATGGTGGAGGTACGCGGCTCGGTGTCACCTCGGCAGAGAGACGCTCAAGCCGAGACCGTCGTGGAAAGTCGTGCTACTCAAAGCCGAAGAGAATGTTCTTTACGTTCAAGCGTACGCGAAATTGTTAGGTGAGAGACGGATGAGACACACCGCATTCCGGTGAGAAAAATTCGCGACAAATTCCGGAGAATTTCTCTCGCCGCAGGTACGCCCACCTCGAGCCTGCCGGCGGAAACGAAAAGGCTGAAGGAGAAGGTCGAGTGCGAGCGGAGTTTCGACGAGCTGAGAATATTGAGGGAAGTGGCGATGCGCAAGACAAGACCCGCAGCGTCGCAGGAGCAGCCGAACGAGAGCGTGCCGCAAGGGCGCGGTATGCTCGAACAGTGGTTCCCGCAATGGTGGGGCTGGTACTCGAAGACGCCTCACAGCAACACGCAGAACGCCACGTCGACCACCACCTTCGACGGCGAGCTTCTCGACGTGCTGGCGGACACGGTGGACGACGACACTCTGCTGCGTCGCGACACGGTGTTCGGACAATTCAATTTCGCTCTGGTGCAAGGTGCGATATCGTTGTGCACCGAGCGGAACGGCACGAGGACCGTGATAGAACTCAAGTTCGAGAAGGTGAATTTGAGTTACGAGTCACGGCCCAGGTTCGGATCGCACAGATTCTCGATCAGTCTGGGCGCGTTGTATCTTCACGATTTTCTCACGGAAAATTCCATGTTTCCCATCCTGGTGCAGCCGCAGGTCGCGTCCAGCGTCGCGATGCGCGCGCGCAAGGAGAGGCCGAAGAAACAACAACAGACGTCGCCGCTGCATCTGTTCGAGCTGACATACGAGAAGAAACCGTTGCACGTCAACACGGACCACTTGCTGCACGTGTACTCCAAGTCGCTGGACGTTGTGTACAATCCCACCGTGATACACTGGCTGATAGAGTTTATGTGCAAACCGCTCCGGTCGTCGTCGAATCAGCGGCTGCAGGCGATGAAGCGCCGCACGCGGAAGCAGCTGATGAAGAACTGGGAGCAGATCCTGGACGGTGACTTTGTGTATCGCTCCTCGTGGGATCTGCGGTTCAAGATTTCCGCGCCGCAGATCCTTTTGGTGGAGAGCTTCGTCGACAGCAACGCGGCCATAGTGATAGTCGACCTGGGCAAGTTGCACCTGTCGAACGACGCGAATCTGACGAATCAGGCGACGCTGAGAACCGACGAGTCGACCGACGACGACGACGACGAGGAGAGGGAGGAGAGATTCGAGACGCCGTGCTCGACTCCGCCCGGCAGTCAGGAGAACGGCTCGCTGCACGACTTCCAAGGCCTGTCCGAGACGGAATTGCACAAGAAACTGTACGACCAGTACTCCATCGACCTGGTGGACCTGCAGATCCTGGTGGTACGGGCGAAGGACAATTGGAAGTACGTTCGCACCAGAGGCATGTCCACGCTGCACCTGCTGGAGCGCTTCAACATATCGTTGCAAATCGAGCGACGGGTCTTCGTCACCTCGGACCCGAACTTCCCGTCGGTCACGGTGTCCGGTAACCTGCCGAGGCTGGTGGTCCACGTGAACGAGTACAAGGTGGGCGCGATGCGACTCATATACAACCTGCTGTCGAATTTCTCCGGTTCTCCGGCGGAAAGCGGCGCGGTGAGCGCGGAGCCCGAGAGCCCGCGGAAGGAGGACCCGCGTTCGTTGAGCCACGCGGTGATGGTGCAGTTCATCATCGATCAGATGACCTTCGAGCTGCAGTCGCGAGGTCGCAGCGTGGCGGAGCTGCAGGTGTCCGGCGTGCGCGCGGCCCTCAGCAAGAGAATGGCGGACCTGAGCGTCTCCCTCTCCGTCCACGGACTGCTTCTGGTCGATGCGATTCAGGTGCTGGGCCCGGACTTCGAACTGCTGATGGCCAGTCACAAGCACGTCGGCATGGACAGCGTTTCCGGCAGCCTGAGAGACTCGGAGCCGACGTCGCCGGTGTCGCCGGCGGAATCGGCCGAGTCGCCCCGGCTGACCTCGCCCGTCGCCCTCACCGACGCCCTGTCCAGCTTGGCGCGCAATTCGCTCGTCGAGAAATTCGACTCGGAGGCGCTGATCGTCGTCGAACTGACACTGGTGGACGATCCCGCGGAGAGTCTGCGAATGGCGAACATACAGTTCAACAATCTCGACATCACGGCCAATCAGGAGACGATAGTGGAGCTGATGGGCTTCTTCCGGCGGATCCTGCCGTTGCGGTCGGCGCGCGTCGAGAGGCGCGACTCGCAGTCAGAGGGGAGTCAGAGCGCGCTCGGGACCAGGCGGACCGAGATCACCTTCGACTTTCATCGGCTGAACGTGCTGCTGCTGCGCGCGGTGATGCAAGGCGACAGCCTGGTGGGCCAGAAGATCGCCACGGCGACGATGTCGGACGCGCGCATACAGGCGACGCTCGCCGCCGACACCTCGATCTCGGGCTCCCTCGGCGGGGTGCAGATATTCGACCAGACGCCGACCGGCAAGACGCATCAGCGGATACTGAGCGTCGGCAGGGATCCGCTGGCGGATCCGCCGCATCATCCGCTGGAGCACTCGTCCGAGCAGCCGGAGGCCTTCCGATTCGTCGCCAGCCGCAGGCAGCCGGCGGAGACCACCGTGGTGGTGGAGCTGACGATACGCGTGGCCAGCGTCTGGTACACGCACGCGCCGCACCTAATCTCCGAGCTGCGCTCCTGCGCCGACGAGTTCAAGCAGTACCTGAGGAACTTGGCGCGGCAGATCAGCGCCGCCGCGACCGACATGGCGATCGGCCTGGTGAACGCGGCCGAGGACTGGACGCCGCGGAAAAGCGACCTGGAGGCGGTGGTCGCCTCGCTGCGGCTCGACGTGCTGCTGGAGAGCCCGGTGCTGGTGATACCGCGCTCCTCCCACAGCCGGCAGGTGTTCGTCGCTCACCTGGGCACGATGTCGCTGCGGCACGAGCCCGAGCCCGGGACGACGAAGGTGACGCTGGAGGTGCGCGACATGAATCTCTATTCCGTCGAGGTGTCCGCGGGCCAGCTCGCTCGGAACAGCTCGCCGATGAGGGTCGAGGAGATGTACCGGTGCGGGGAGTCGGCCGAGCCGATACTGCACGACACGATGCTGAAGATACTGGTGGAGAAGGAAGGGCGGATCGTGCAGGTGCACGGGGCGGTGATAACGCCGCTGAAGGTGTCGCTGTCGCGCGGCCAGTACGAGCAGTCGCTCGACACCATCGACCGATTGAGCGCCTCGGCCCTCCTCGGCCCCTCGGACCTTCCTCTCGCCTCGAGCCGCTCCCCCGAGAAGGACCTCTCCGTCAGGGTCTCGTTCGAGCTGCCGATCCTGAGCGTCGAGCTGAAGCGGCAGCAGCCGCTGGTCGAGCTGTCGATGCGCGACTTCGTCGTGAGGTACGAGAAGCTGGACGAGTCGACGGAGGTGCAGGTCGCGCTACGCTCCCTCCTCATGGAGGACCTCCTGTGCCCGGTGGGCTCGCGGCATCGCTTCATGATGCGGTCGTCGGCGCCGGCGCGCGCCAGGCTGCCCACCGGCGTCTCCAGGTCGTGCCCGGACCTCGCGTGCGCGCGACGCTACGCGAGGAACGGCAGCCTGCCGGACCGGCTGGAGGCCGACGCGCTCTACGGCGCGGTCCCGGCGCACTGGCGGCCGGCCGACACGCCGGACACGCCGCCGCCGGGCGCGGCCGCCAGCGAGGAGAACCTCGTGCTGGTGAGCGTCGCCGAGAAGGACCGGCGGAGAATCGTCACGGTGGACTTCAACTGCCTGGACCTGGTGGTGAGCGTGGACTCGTGGATGGTGGTGTTCGACTTCCTCGGGGTCGCGTGCAGCGAGGCGGCCGCGCGTCGCGCCGCGCCCGCCAGCAGGCCGGACGGCCTGCTGCGCTCCGAGACCGAGATCGAGGTGAGGTCGCTGACGCTGGTGCTGCTGACGGGGGAGCGGGAGATAGCGAAGGCGAACGTCTCGAACGCCAGCATGTACGTGCTGGGCGCGAACGGCGAGACCTCGGTCCACGGCCAGCTGGGCTCGATGTCGCTGCTGGACCTGACGCCGCACGGCCGCCGCTACCGCGAGCGCTTCCTCACGGCCGGCCGTAAGGCGCTCAACTTTCACTACTCGAGCTGCGCCGAAGACGCGCGGCTCAAGCTGGAGATGTCGGCGGTGCACTACGTGCACACGCAGCGATTCGTCGCCGAGCTGCACATCTTCTTCGGCCGCTTCTCCCAGCTGTGGGGGGGCGTGATGCGGCCCGGCGCGAACCGCACGCGGCTCTCCCTGGAGCTGCGGGCCGGCGCGCCCCTCATCCTCCTGCCGGTGAGCTCCCGCTCCGACGAGCTCGTCCTGCTCGACCTGGGCGAGCTCACCGCGCGCAATCGCTTCGACACCTCGTCGGACTGCGTGCTCGAGGTGATGCTGCTCGAGCTGGTCAACATGGACGTGTACGCGACGCGACGGCTCGAGTGCGACGACGCGGCGGACGCCGTCAGGGTCGGCGGTTTCCTCATCGAGAAGATGGGCTCCTCCTTGCTGACGGACAAGTGCCAGCTGAGGCTGCGCGTCGAGCGGAACCTGGACACCCACGTCAGCCGCGCGATACCCGACCTGAGCGTGCACGGCGTACTCTCGACCATGGACTGCGCCTTGGACCCCGCGCAGTACATGCTGATCCGCGGCCTCCTCTCTCACAACATCGGCGAGAGCCTGGACGACCTGCGCCTCCTCGCTCGGCAGGCCCCGCTCGAGGAGGAGAATTCCGGCGAGACGTGGACCAGATCCTGCGTGACCCTCGAGCTGGTGAACGTGACGGTGAGGCTCCACCCCAGCCACAACATCGCCGCGCTGGCCTGCGTCAACTTCATCAAGTCGAGACTGACGCTGGACTCGCTGAGCGACGGCTCGCAGGACATCGACTTGGTCTCGCAGGAGATACTGGTGACGGACACGCGTTTCCAGAACGAGCCGGCGGACCGGCGGTGCAACGTCTTCACGCGCATCCTGCAGCCGCTGAGGACCCCCTGCGCGGAGGGCCGCGTCCAGGCCGAGGTGCACCATCGGAAGCGCGAGGCCTACGCGGCGACCACCGTACTGCTGCACAGCATGCGGCTGACCGCGATCCTCGACTGGTGGGAGGCCGTGCGAGACTTCCTGCTGCTCGATTCACCGGAACCCGCGCGGACGGTCGTCTCGCAGGAACCCGGCCTGCCGATCGTGCTCAAGATCAACATCACGGGCTCGGAACTGGTGATCGTCGAGGACACCTCGGTCCTCGACACCAACGCCGTCATACTCAAGACCACCGCCGTCCTGTCGTATCGCTCCACGCCCCAGGAGGGCGAGAAGCCGCTCTCCTGCAACCTCTCGCAGTGCGAGCTCTTCTCCTGCGTCCTCGGCATGGAGAACGAGACCGCTCTCTCGATCATCGACCCGGTCGGGGCGAGTCTCGACCTCACGCGGGACGAGTGCCTGGAGGTCCAGCTGCAGCCGCTCTGCGTCAGACTGAGCTACCACGACGTGACCATGTTCTCCAGGATGCTGAGCTCCGTCCCCAAGCAGACCTCCTGGGCTAAACGGAGGTCGAGCGCCGACAGCCGGGTGTCGAAGCTCACCACTCTCGGCTTCACCGAGGTCGATTGCAGAACCGCGCTGGACCGCTGCGACGGCCAGCTGGACGACGCTGCCCTGTGGCTGACGCAAAACGCCGAGCCGAGTTCCGAAGCCGCGACCAACCTCTTCCGCGCGCTCGAGCTCCAAGCGTCCTGCGTGCGAATCTGCGTCATAGACGACTGTCGGGACGCGGACGTGCCGCTGCTGGAGATCACGCTGACGGACTTCAGCCTGCGCCAGGTGAATCGCCAGCCCGGCGTGCTGTCGGCCACCTTCGGCGTCGATTACTACAATCGAGTGCTCAGCGGCTGGGAGCCGTTCATCGAGCCCTGGCGCGCGAGCATTCAGTGGGAGCAGGCGATCGACAGGCTGTACGTGGCCATCGATTCCCAGGATTCCGTCGATCTCAACGTCACTCTGACCTTGGTCGAGCTCGTGCAGCTGGTCAAGCACAACTGGACGCAGGATTATTATCTGTCCGACGGCCCGGCCAAGTTGCATCGGCGCCGTTCCCCCTTCGTACCTTTCGCCCTGAAGAACGACACCGGCTGCAGGCTCTGGTTCAAAACGTTCATCGCAACCGCGGGCGATGCGATGGACACCGGGAGAAATCAAACGAAGAGCTCCGTGCGTAAGGACGATACGTGGATGGAGGTGATGCCGGGAGATACCACGTCGTTCACGTTCGAAGGAAGGGGGAAGCTGAGGCACCACGAGACGCACACCGTCAGAAGACACCAGATCGTGGTGCAGGTCGAGGGATGGAAACCGGTCGAACCTGTAACCGTCGATCGTGTCGGCATATACTTTCGGCACGCGAACGCCGACATTGCCGAATTTGAAGTAAGGCATGCCGTATCGTATCACGATTGAATTCGATTGACCGTATTCGGTATTCCAGATGCTCTCGTCGAAAGCTAGACTCGTGTTTGCTGTGGAGCTGGAGGGATCCGCCAGGAAATTGGTCACCGTTAGATCAGCTCTTCAAGTGGCCAACAAGTTGTCCCACGCCATTGAGATTAAGATGGAGACATCGTTGAATCAATTCGGATGTAGGTTTTCCTCTCTCTCTCTCGTAGCCGACGAGATTGATCCATTTCCTTTCAGACTTGATACTGACATCGGCCAACATTGGGAAGATGCAACTGCCTGCGCGATCGGTCATGTCCTTGCCTCTGTCGCATATCGGGGTGCAGATGTGCTTCAAACCGCTCATTCCGAACTCCCAGTTCCAATATTGCACGGAATCGGTAAACTGGACGGTAGTCAAGAAACCGATGGAAGTGATGGAAAACCATATCACATGTCGAACCAATCAAAACAACGTATTCAGGTGCGACACGACGGTCGAGACTGGCTGACGAACGTTAAACGTTATACCTTCTCCCTTTTTAGAATGTGCGTGGCGGTAAGACGAAACAATTATCCTGTCGACGGTACGCAAGTACTGCCAGGGCATACAATTACGGTGATGGCTCCCATAACGATGACGAATCTGTTGCCATACGAGTTGACGTACGAGGCGAATGCAGAAGGCGGTAGAATCTCGCCGGGTTGCAGCGCGGATCTGCACTGTTCCAACCTGGAAGAGCAATTGGAGATTAACATTCAGCTGGACGGTTATCCAGGATCTGGAACGGTATTTGTCGCGTTCTATCCGTACACTCACTTTGTCCGATTTAATAATGTTTGTCAACTTTTCAGATAATATTACCGCCAAACAGTTGTTCCTTTACCGCCCGTCTCAAACTACTGGATTCCGCTAGCAGGATACTCCATTTGCAAGCGGCTGTGACCGTCGAGAAGGGTTCGGCCGTTCAAATTAACGTCACCGCACCTTACTGGATCATAAACAAGACCGGTCTACCATTGGTGTTCAGACAAGAAGGGGTTGGCATCGAGGCAGCGGGACAATTCGAGGAGCACGAGAAAGCGAGAATGATTGCGCCGTTGCTGTTTTCGTTCAGTGACGAGGAGGCCAGCAGAACCGTGTCGGTGAGAGTCGGCATCGAGGTGCATCCCCACGGAATACCGCAGTGGTCTCAACACTTTTATTTACAGCCCGGTATCCACGTGAGTACATCTCGAGCCTTTCCTTGCAATCATCACACATTTCGTCTGTATTTCGAGAGAATAAGGAATGAAGATAAACTCTATTTCAACTGTGTTGTATCAATCACATCTAATTAACTATTGTGCAGGTTCAACGTCTAAGAATCAGTCTGCGCGACGGGAGACCCGATATAGTCTATTTGATTAGCGTGGCCATTCGCGGGGCAAGAGGAAGGTACGGGGCTACCACAGTCGTCACGCTTTCACCAAGATACCAATTTCACAATAAGTCATCTTATACCTTACAGCTGGCCCAGAAATGTTTCACAACGACCGTGGTAAGTCGAAACGATATCTGAACGAAGCAGCGGCTTCAATCGTGTGCACTTTCAGTCTCACCCGGATGCCCAGGCGACGTATATCACGATTATGCCCGACTGCCACATGCCGTTCCATTGGCCACGGCTGGACAAAGACCTGTTGCTTTGCGTCAGGATTACCGACGTTCGGGATTGCATGTGGTCGGGCGGTATCAAATTGGACAACAATTATTCCCTGACTATCAACGTCAGGGATGTAACGGGGAAGATGCATTTTCTGCGAGTGGATGTGGTGTTGCAAGAGACCACGTATTTCATCGTGTTCACCGACGCTGACACGATGCCGCCGCCTATAAGAGTGGACAATTTCTCGGCGGTTCCTTTAATCGTGAATCAGGTATATTCATAGCTTGTAATAACGCGTTTCTTTTCGCTTACTCTCGTCCAATTTCATCTTATCGCGATGAAAATCTGCAGATTAAAGTTCCCGATAGTCTGCAATGGACTGTGAGACCACATTCGTCGGTACCGTATGCCCTGGACGAGCCCATACAAACTGCCGGTTTAATACTGACTGCACCGGGCGGTGCGACAGCTTCTTACAATTTGAACGTACTCGGAGAGAGCAGGGGTCTGACTTACGAGAACTTTATTTACATTGCTTTTACAGGTAAAGATAGTAGATACGGTGAGATAGGAAGTTGTAACATTCCTCGTTATTGCGACAGGTACCTTCAAGACTGATAACGATCTTGGGACAGGTGAGAACGATCTGGATCCGCTCGACATGGAGACCCAGAGATTGGTTTTGGAAGCTGGCCCGGGTGGCTGGGTCGCCTTGCGTAGGAAACAATACGGCGCTAGGTCGCAACTTTGGAGAATGACCGGCGATGGGCAGCTGCAACACGAAGGTATTGTCGCGATGCCAATAACAAACCGACGAGAGATAATGCCGAGAAGGGAGAGACCTGTCTCACACTGAATTCTAACGCAACGTGATGTATGTACAGGTTCCAGCCCGCCGAGGGACAAACATTCCAGGGATATAAACACGATATACGTTTTGGACATAGCGGGTACCGCTCCGCAACCGTTCACGTATTGCGCACTCGCGCTGAGGAAGCCGGATCCCAGACGAAGATCGACGCAAACCTGGCGATTCACCGACGACGGCCGACTCTGTTGTGTGCACAAGAATATGTGCGTTCAATCGAAAGACGGCTTTATGGGACTATACGAAGGTTGGAACTTTGCTTTCACTTGGTCGCACTTGTGAAACGCTGATTCGCTTGTATAAATAAGGTTTATCGCGAACGTTGTGAATTTCTTTTCGTCACGCCTGTTCATCGTTGACACTCTCTATTATCTTATGTTGCCTTAGATAGATTATTTGCGAGCTACGCGTGTAACTCGATTCTTTTTAATCGTCCTTTCAAACGCGATTTAATAACGCCTGTAAACGCGAAATGTAGAATATTGCGAGATGAGTGTACATTTAACGACGTCGGGGTGACAGACGCGCGAATAATTTCCAGATATTTTGTCTCACACGACGTGTGTGTGTGTGTGTGTGTGTGTGATATTTTACAGACCATAACGTTTCACTTATTTGCCGATTATCTGTACAAGTCTTACTTCTGTTGAGATTTTTCTACTTTTCTTCTGTTAGTTCTTGCTCGTTACTTTTATCCAGAGAGATCTAAATTGATCATGAATGTTGCAGGCGGCAGTGTTGCCCGTTGGCAAATGTGTACGTATAGTTTCAGAGTACACACTAAAATCGGCGATTTCATTTATAAGAGCGTATCCATAAGTAACACGTGCTAATATCTCCGCTTGTTTTGCCGTTTTTTTTCTCTCTTTTTTTCTTTGCAATCGCTTTTCGCATATCTCCTGAGAATATCTGACCGCGATACAGAGAGATACATCTTTGTCTATAATTAATCGAATCCTTGATTGACATCGTTGTATTACAGCGTCATTCTCTGACGTGTAATGCGTTTGCAAAATTTGTCGAATCTCAGCTTCCTTGCAGTCTCGTTGTGCGTGCTTACATTGCTGAAATGGATTTACCTGCATTTTAGGGAGCGAAGCTGTACTGGGCCCTGAAACATCTGGCAATCCACCGCCGATCGAGCAACGAGTGGGTAGACAAAAATTACGGCCAGGTTCTGGATTCTTGACGATCAGAGTGACCACAGACGGCCCGACTCGAGTCCTGCAAGCTCTCGACATTAAGGAAAGGGTTGGTTCCATTAGAAATTCGAAGAAATGTGAAAGGAGATCAATAATGAAATTAACTTGATTTCAGAATAAGATGTTCGCCCTACTCGAGGAACGCGACTGGTGGCACATTGCCGTGAGTCATCGGCCCACGCAGATCGACGCCGACGTGAAGAGGCTGGATTCCCGTGAATTAAATCTCAAATTGGATCTGCCGGCCGGCCTCGGATTGTCCATCGTGTCGCAGAGACCAGTGGAGGAGTTGTTGTTCGCGCGTCTAGCCGAGATCTCCCTGAATCTCGTGCGGAGTCCGTTGAACACCACGCTAGATCTGAGCGTTGCCGATGTGCAAATTGACAATCAGCTGTTCGAGGCGCAATGCACGTCGGTCTTGTTCGTCAGCCGACCGTCCCGTACGGAAGACGAGATACGGCCCGCTTTGCATATCGCGGCGGAAAAGCTGCGATCGAAGAATCAGAACGCCGAGATATACAAGCATGTTATAGTCAGCGTCAAGCCTCTGTGCGTGCACTTGGAGGAGAAGTTTATCTTGAAACTGGCGGCGTTCCTTGGGATCGGCAAGTCGGAATTGGAAGTGCCGGTCGACGAGAACGACTTTAAGGCGCAGAGATTTATCTCCGAGGTGTCAGCCGCACACGCCAAGAGATATTACTTTGGCGCGCTGGAACTCGTTCCTAATCAGGTGCGAACTTTCCCGTCGGTTGTATCGCAGTGCTATATCTCATTCACACGCGTTTCAGGTAAAACTTAGCGTACTCACCACGACCAAGTTGCCGCAACATTTGCAGGCTGTGAAGAGGAAATTGGGCCTGACCTTGATCAATTTTGAGAACGCCACTATCGAGTTGAAGCCATTTACCAAGGAGCATCCTTTTGAGAGCAGCCAATTCTTGATGCATTCTATCGTGAAGCATTACAAAGATGTACGTTAGACAATGCAGTAGTACTTGTTAGACGCGTACGATCTCACGCGGTGTTGCAGGAGTTGATGTGCCAAGCTGCGGTTATTCTGGGTTCCGTGGATTTTCTGGGGAATCCTCTCGGATTCATGAATGACGTGACGGAAGGCGTTTCCGGGCTCATCTACGAAGGCAGCGTGAAAACTTTGGTGAAGAACGTCACCCACGGCATTTCCAACTCGGCGGCGAAGGTAACGGAATCTCTGTCGGACGGATTGGGAAGGGTGATCATGGACGAGAGGCACGAAGAGGCCAGGCAGAGGATTCGGGCCAACACCACCGGCAGCAGCGATCACTTGGTGGCTGGCCTAAAGGGTTTCGGCTTTGGTCTACTGGGTGGTGTCACCAGTATATTTAAACAGACCTACGACGGAGCGGCTAACGAAGGTTTCCCGGTATGCGACGTTACAGACTCATTCGATATTATACGAATCAAATATGTCTGAAATTTCTAGGGCTTCTTCGCCGGCTTCGGAAAAGGTGTAGTAGGTACGATAACGAAACCCGTAGTTGGCGTTTTAGATCTGGCAACAGAGACGGCCAGTGCTGTACGAGAAACTAGCAGGAGGTAAGGGAGGTAATTTTCTGCGAAAATATTAATTCGACTTTTCTAAGCGATTAATGCGATTCCCCGCACAGTTCTCATCGCGCTATACCAAAACGCGACCGACCGCCGCGTGTCGTCAGCGGTTCCACTGGATTGTTACCACCGTACAATCGCCAACAGGCCGAAGGCCAGGAGTTTCTGTACAGCATCAACGATCGCGACTACTCCGAACTCTTCGTAGCGTACGAGTGTTTGCGCAGCGGCACGGAAAATCTCAGAGTGCTCGTGTCGAACGAGAGGGTACGCGTCATCTCCGGCGGCACGAAGGCGGTGGTGACGGAAGTCAGCCTGGCGAATCTTTTGTGCTGTAAACCGATGCAAAAAATGGAAAGTAACAGCGTGACGTTGTATTACATAGAGATGATATCTCTACACGACAGATCCGATATTGCTGCCACGGTGAATTCGGACGGACACGAATTGTTGAGACGGCCCAAGGTGCGATGCGACAATGAAGAGGTGGCGAAACGCGTGAGTATATTTGTACGTGCTCTCCTTATGAAAACATCAGCATAATTGATCCTTTCTAGGTATCGCGACAGATCAGTTATGCCAAAGGTATGTACGAGGAACGCAGTCTGACCTTGTCATCATCGGATAATATGTTGGACGACGTACAATACTACAAGTAACGACGCGATTCCGATCGCGCGTCGAGAATTCAATCTCATTTCTGATACGTTTCTTTCGCGTACTAGTCAGGATTTCATTTCGCAATGCACTAACGGTAATACTTTAGTTACGAATCTTAACGTTAAGTTACGAAAAGACTGATATGATGTACCGTAACTCTCCGTGAGTTAATCATCGAGCGTGATCGTATATTCTGATTTCGCCTCTTATAGTAATTGTGGCACGGAAACTTTTGATACGGATCGAGATAAGAAATGTAAAATAGATAGTAAATAGATGTAGAAAATGATATGAGAAACGTTTTTTTTAAAGATGTACATATATGCTGATTACTTAACTTCGCGAACATACGATTTTATGCATATACAGAGTGTCTTGGAGAGAATCATTATTTTTTTTTTTTATGATATATATAATACTATATACATTGTTTTTCTCGATAAAAGTTCAATAGATTATGGAGCAAGTATTTGATTTGTAACGCCGGACGTTTGGGAGTAAATTTTATCATGAGAAAATTGTTGTTGGCTTTATCGCAATTCAATTTTTTCATTACTTCAAATCGATGCATCATCGTCGAATCTTTTTCCCTCATAATTGGAATACGGTACTTCTAAGGCACTCTGTACATGTATTTGTGTACATATGTATGAAAGTTGATTTACTATTCTAAACGAAAAACAATTATACTTATGAGAAAAGCAATTAAACCAAAGCTTTGTATAGAAATTACAGAGGATATTTCTTTCCGATGTATGTTTTCACTAACACACACATTGTTACTTTAGTGATTCACATTTTTCGTTTTACAGTAGTCCAACGTGCTGTTTTGTACAAAAGTTCCTGCATATACAAATGTAGCTTGTAACAAAAATGTGTAAACTGTACAAATAGATCGAGTGTAGAGAATCAGCTATATTTAAATACTTTTGTAAAGCTGGTGTACGATGCGAAAATAACGTGTTTGTAATATATCATGTTGATATATCGTTAAGCAAATTAATAAATGTTACGTCCGTAAAAATAGGACGTAATATGAAAAATCTTCATGTTGTGTTATCGTGTACACAATATGTGTTATTTTGTTAAAAAATCCACACTGCAAAATTCAGAGATAGGAAAAGTTGTACAGAATTACTTTATCGGATTTAGCATAAAGTGGTGCAAAAAGAAAATGCTAAGAACATCGGAACGCAATTACAGTCGGATCAGTTCAGATGCTCTACGGCTCATTTCATTGGCTACGAAGCATCTGAAGATAAGTTTAAGAGGAGTCTCGATGGCGCACTGTGCTTGTTTTTGTACTAAATTGCTTCCTGGGTGGAAATACTGCGTTGATTGATATTTTTCCATCCAGCAAACAATCCAGCACAAAAACAAACGTCGCTTTACTGAAAAATTGAGGTCGTGGTACAACTCAACAGCAGGGTCAGCTGTCTAAAAAAGAAGTGTTTTTCAAGTAGTAGAACACGACGGATGGTCAGCCGCAATATTCCCTTATATTGAAACACAAAATTCAGCGGACTGTAACTTCCGCAAAAATAACAGAATGGTTGTTCAGAAAGCTCTTTGACGTCTTTACTTTTCAAGTATATCAAGTTTATAATGCTATTATTTATTGCTAAGATATTTCAAGTTATTTATGTTTGTGATACGTGCGAAATATCAGATTACAAATGGAGAATCACGATTACATTGAGAATCAATCTCTCCTTTGGGAATTAAATAAAGGAAATATCGAATTATCTAATAAGTTAATAGTTTGTACCTTATGTTTTATTTATCCGCAGTTCTACTATCACATGTAAAGTCCCAACAATAAAAATATGTTTATAACGTTGTAACATTGCAAATGGATTATATGTGTGGTATGTACATGTTCATAAATATTTGTATAAAAATATGGGTTGCGAAATATTGCATTGAATTAGCTACTTTATCATCTATCATTGGGTAACTGTCTCATCATCTTCTCTTTCGACGAATTTTGTTCTCCGAATGTCGGTTCATAGTTATTATTTATTATTCGCGTTACATGATGTACGAGAGCCACGATACTTTTTCCAACATCGGCAATTTTTAACAAAGCAACATATTTCTCAATGTGTTTATATTATGTGTTTATACTCGGGACAAATGTCCCGAGTTTGAAGTAACAAGTCTGCAAATACTTTGGTATTCTTTCTGTCGGAGTAACGTGAAAATCAATCTTATAATATGCTCTATATATATATATATATATATATATATATATATAAAAGGAAAACACGAAAACGCTAATGGTCGAAGGCACTTTTACATGACCACGAAACAGTTGTGCATACGATTTTACGTTCCAACTCGCAAGTAACGTCATCCTGCTATCTCAAATAATCTCCGAAGTTTTTCTATACAGAACCACCGCTAAATAAATCAACTAACGCAAACAGAATAGTTTTCGGAAAAATATCTTGCAATAACTTGTTTCAGCTTTATGCAACTTTCCGGCTTGCCGATCGCTATAAGATTCGTCTTATGAATTACGCGAAAAGATCTCGTGGTTACATCTTTTTCATTCGGAACTCGTGCAGAACGTAACAAAGAGTCATGCTGAATACATCCTAGATACAATGCGTATCATTGTGAGAATACGTAGCAAGAAAGGAAGTATTGAGTTTCTTGGAAACTTATTCTCGACAGTTTGAAAAAACTCGAATTCGTTCCGCGTGATTATGTATTTCATCAGACGATAGGATCAACGATGACATTAATTACGAATATATAAGTATAAATGTATGTAGCCTCGATATCCGAAAGTCTACAAGAGGAAAAATCACAATTGTCGTCGGAGAGTTGTGTTACTTAAGAAAGAGATTATTCATCGATTTACGAAAAAAGAACAAAATGCATTCTCTACTGTGCAGGTAAAATCGAAATCCTTTCATCTAAATCTGACACGATTTTTTAATTTCCGTACGACTGACATAACAATATATCCTTCGTAAACGCTGTATATAAATAACTACGGTTCACCTAATATCCTATAACTTAACGGGGAGCTACGCGCAAATATCTACAATATGTATAAATACCATTGTTGTATTGTACACTGTGCTGTTGGCGCGGCGTCTGGATCCGGTAAAAGTCTCTCGAGACGAGAACGAGGAACACATGTTTTTCCACGCTCATCTCTCCTGCTCCGTGTCACACAATACAAAATGGCAGTAGTTATAATAAAAAGTGACGTAACAAACAAGGATGGAGGATCTTTAATTCTAATACTGCTGCCAAGTTTGTCAAACACGAAATCTAACTTGAAGATAAGCAACGGAAAAGCACTACGACAGATAATGCCCTTTATCTACCGTGTATAAATCTTTGCGACTATATATACATGTATATATATATTTCGTTTCACAAACACACGGTACAATGACCGATGCATTGTTAGCGTGGAAGTATTGGTACACGTTTCGGTCGAATCAACTGACAGTGTGCTCATTGTCCAAATTAGATTTTGCATTTATCGGAGTGTATGTTCCGTCGAAGGCAAATTTTATGCACATATAATACCACAAGAGTCTCTTTCTCTCGAGGTTGGTATAACATTTCAGAAAGACTTGATCTGGAAACTGTACGGATCCCCGAAAATCGAAAAACAACGTAGGTGAGAACGTTGAAACGTCACTTTCGATCTCTCTTTGAAACCATATATACGTTGACTCTCGTTTGTCATGATAACATTTCCGGCAAGTTCAGAAATCTGTTTTACAATGATTTTTCATTTCCTGCTTCGAGAAAAATGTTTATCTCTGTCACATTGTTCTTCTAATACACCAGCTTTTAAAGCTAGATTTCCTACTTCTGCATAATATCTGAAATTATTTTATATATATCCGATATAAATTATAAAAGTAAGAAATGACGCATGAAAATCAAAGCTTTTTTCTTTTTCTTAACCGGTAGCTCGGTTTTGAGTATACATCCTTTTAGGACACGGCAATATATTTGCCTTTCTTTTTCTTTCGCTCGTTTCCCGATGTTCGCATTCTCCCGCTTTTTCTCTCTCGTCACACACACACACACACACACACACACACACACACACACACACACACACACACACACACAAAGTCCCTAATACGAGACATACACGCTATAACACTACAGCAATTGGTATGTAACTTTTGCAATCAAATACAAAAGTATGAAGACTTATAAGTGAACTACGATTATCGTGAAAATTTTGCACCTCCGCGTTAAAAAAAGAAAAAAAAAAGAAATTCCGAGATTAATCTTTGAACGCCTTAATTGTAGCTCGTTCGTTCGTTCCAACAGCTAAATAACATGGAGGGAATGAATGTATACAGGCAGAAATGGCCAGGCGGACTTGATCGTCGCGTCATCAGTGTCAATCTCCTCGTATCATCACTGATCTTATCGGTAAAACGTGTTGTCAATGTTGAGTCTCGTTCATAACAGTAACACTCTCCACCTCCCTTTTATCGCTCTTCTCGTCGTCCTTATTTGGATTGTCCCACTTCTGTCTCTGGCCAGAGCTGAAGATCGCGTAGAATGTCGCGCACATGATATAAACGCCAGCACAGATCATGAATACGGTCCTCCATTTCGCTTGCGTCGGCTGAAAACAATGACGACAGGTCACGTAAATTTCGTCGTTCGCTATTATTAACTAAAGTGCTTTTTCAATTAATCGAGGAAGGATTTTGTTTTATTACGAAGTAGAAAAGTTACCGTTCCCGTGATGATATATCCAGCTGTGATGGGCGCGAGTAGACCAGCAAGATTAGCCAGACAATTGGTGAAGGACATTAAAACGCCGGCGAACCTTGGCGAGATATCGAGATGATTGACTTTAAAACCGGAATATATACCGCCGTTCAGACCAACTCCGACCGTCAAAAGGGTTACTGTCAACCAACGACTGCAACCAGTGTACGAGGCGGCTACCAATGCCACGGCCGGTGAATACTGGCCGATGCTGTTGACGATCTTGCGAGTACTGGTATGATTGAATTTTCCCGACGAAATCATCCAGTCGGCGATGTGAGATATCACCATAGAGAAGATCCACATGGCTAAGTACGGGAGCGCCGAAACTGAGCCGTTCTGAGAGAAACGCATGAAGAAAGAGATGATACCAAGATAATACACGAGAAATCATCCTTGGACGGTATATTATACTCACCGATTTGATATCAAAGTGAAGAATCTGCTTCATGTACGTCGGAAGTTCGGTCATCAAGGTTTCGTATCCGTAATTGTGACCCATATGCGCTATCAAGATAGCCCAGAATGGCAGCGAAGTTACAATTGACTTCCACGGGACCGGTGGAGACTGGAAAGCCAGTTTGGTTCAATCAATGGTACACAGAGACTAGCGGTCCCTCTTAATTGGGGGGGGGNGCCGGCGCTACCCCACAGAGCGCTCACGATGTACTTTTTCTCGTCCTCTGCAATGTGCGGATCCTTCTCAGGGTCCTCGTGAACGAACATGAGGAAGAATATGCACCACAAGGTGCCGACAGTTCCAAACACGTAGAAGATCGACGGCCAACCGCCTGCGAATCCGTATTCGGACAGTACCCCACTCAACGGCATGGAGATTATCGTGCCGAATTGCGCACCTATAGACGCGACGAGAGAGAAGGGGAAAAAAGAAAACAAAGGTACTGAATTAATGATCGCAGTCGGGCTTTTTCATTCTCTTGCTTTGTCTCTTCTCTCTTTACCAACGAAACAAAAACCTAGTGAGAGTGATTAACAGAACAGAAGGTAACTCGATAAATTCAAAAAGGTCCAAATCCACGGTCCAAATCCACGGTCGCAGCAAGAAGCGCACAACGGTGTGACTCGATGCATCGTGAAACGATCCAGAAGAGGAGGACTCTCAAACGCTCTCGACTCGACACACACGCGACACAGATGCTACTATAAAAAGGGAGAAAAGATCGCATTGAGCACGAGCTTACCGGCATAGACGAAGGCACCCATCCTACTGCGTTCGTTGGGCGGTATCCACTTGGCCAACATTGCGTGCGTGCAAGGCACAATAGGACCCTGCAATAGGGATAATCCATTCCTAGGGGGAGGGAAATACACCCATACAATCAAAAAGCGTTCACACACAACGGATCAGTAATCCTTTAATATTAAGACTAACTCTATACACGCTCTCTATCAACTATCTTAAACTTATCGATTAATCTAAACGCGCGGAGACTCTCTTGTTTTCATTAATCTTCTCGTACGGCAGGAAGCGCGCGGAAATCCAAAGTCTAAATATGTATATACCTTATCAGCTTCCTTCCAATGTCAATTTGATACTTACGAACGAAACTCACTTGTTCGCACGTATATATTCGGATAATAGATAACCGATCCCGAAACATCACACATTCCCGGTCTGCTCTCTCGCTCTCAATCAGACTATATCTGTGTTACTAAAGTAATATAGGAAATCCGTGATGTCACTTACCTCTCCTAAGCCCTGAATGAAGCGCACGGCTATCAGCCAGAAGTATCCAAAATTCGCGGATACCGGCACTAGCAGGCCGAACAGCGAGTTGATCAGCATGCCGACTCCGAGGAAGTACTTGGAGCCGTAGCGCTTCGCGAGTATACCGAAGGGTATCTGCGTGATCACATAGCCGTAGAAGAACGCGCTGAGCAGGTAGCCTTGTTCCTTGCTGCACCACGAGAACTCGCCGTCGCTGCTCTGTTACGACAAGATTCTCTAACTTCCTCGCACGGTTCGCACTCGGAGTGAGAATTTCTCCTCTAGTACTCACGCCTTTCACAGTCGCGGTTTCGTTCACGACATATTCTGAGCATTCGTTCGTCACCTCCTCGTGTTTGTCGATGCACGCCGTATGATTGACCATCGCGACGATAGCCACGGACATGTTGGTCCTCATAACGTAAGCGTTCGCCATGCCGAGGAACAACATAAAAGTCACAAAGTGACGTCTTCCAAAGAAGCCTGAAAAAGAAAAAAGAGAGTGACGTAATATACGCCCGAAATTCTTGCAGAAAGGGAATTTCGAGGAAGGTCGTAGTAATGGTTGAACACAATTTCATGTCGAGTTAAAATTACATTTGCAGGTGAACTTAGATCCGCTTGGCGAGAAATTCGAATTGAGGATAATCGTATTCCCCAAGTACTACTGAGAGAACGTATCGGCAGGTGCTCTGCCAAATTTTCACGCAAATAACCGAAGGACGAATGGTGGGACCAATGCCGAGGTGAGAGATGCGGAGATTGATTGAACCGCGAGCTATCAACGAAAGCATCGTAGACCCCGATGAGACCCCGTCACTCGGGGTGCTACAGGAATAAGAGGTAGACACGTGTTCCTCGCTGCGAAAGGTAATCTATAGGAGGCTTTATGAAATTCGTCGCGTCAATGGGAACAATCTCACGAGAGGGTGAGTCATTGATAATCGGTCGTGTACGTAACAGCGTCGCGTAACGCCTGGCCGCATTCATCGACGACAATTATCAGGAATTCGTCTGGACTTGGGCGGTATACAAGGGACAAAGTGATGCGTCGTCCGTCGAGTCAATGCTATAAATAGACGGAATCCGCAGGAGTCTGCTAATAATCTATGTCAAGAGGAGGCATCGATGGGAAGAAAAGAATCGGTCGTCGCAGAAATACGTGTCGCAAAATTCTTTCCTTTCTTTTTCTTTTAGACACTTGTCAGCAATTGCCCGAAGAGATTGTAAATATAATATGTGTCGAAATGTTTGCGCGTATATTCAAGTGTCATGGAAAGTTTACGCGATAGGAGAACAAGGGCTTTCATACACAAGGGATATATCGCTAGTCTCGAGTACTTTTCCACGAGTTTGAAGTCGCGTTAGGGATGATGGAATATTGTGATTGAATACGAAATGACGATACACGTCTGATTTACAAGTCTCGCGTGCAATGATCCCATCTATTTGTACGAGATATAAAACTAATAATAATCAAACTTGCGCGTCTGCAGTACGACCCTTGAGATTTTGTTTAAGAAAAAGATTAATTTTAAATGAGTAGTAAAAGTCACAACATTTAGACAGTGAATGTCATACGAGCAATGCATATTCGCTATTTAAATTTTCCGGATGAGCCAGTTGATCGATATATTTCAATAAATCGAAAATTAACTGTGTTATCAATTAAAATGTCCGCGATCTAAATGTGATCGAGCGATAAGAATAATCGATGACTACGACGAAGCGTCGACGCACCAGCGAGGCGTAACGAATCGCTTCTCGTTTCAAAGGGACCGCATCGCGACGACATTTTCTATAGTTTGACAGTCCAGCACATGAGTCACCTGAGCATACACGGTTCTAACGCGAACTTTGCGCAGTTTCGCCAATGACAGCTTCCTCGGCCTTCTACGTCGCGATTATGAGAGGAGAATTAACTTTCTGAGAGATCGTTCGGTCGATCAATTTTCCCCGATGATTATTCGTACGTAGCCATCCTCTTTATCCGGAATGTCCTCCGCGAATCGATTTGGAATTTTAACATTTAATAAAGCGTACAAATCGCGAATTTTTTAAATATTTGACAATTCGAAGAAAAAATTCGATGTATTCACAACAAGATGATCTGTACTCTCAGTAATACTATTATCAGCATTTCAATTCCCAGCGATCGTCTAGTGTTATTAATATCTAGTAACACTGGCAGATGACTATTTCCGTACTGTACGGCGCTCAGATTGCTTCTTTGTATTACGTTAGCAATTCAAAGCGATTACGTCACAGAACAAACGACTGCTTCTTTTTTGCCGCTCGATCGATGTTACAAAACTCCGTCTCGCGAATGATCGAACGCTCGTGCTTTCCTTATCACGTTCAGATTAGCACCAACGCGCTTCTGAATCGTCGTCGGCGTTAAAGAGAGGGAGAGAGAGCGAATAAAGAGCAAACAGAGGATAAAAAATAAGATAGGAGACTCGGCGAGAGACGTTAGACGCTCGACACGATTCAATTAGGGCGAGTATTTTCTAGGAATAAATTTCATCGCCCACACAACGTTCGAACTTATTAACACGACATTGCCGAAGCGACTTTGGTCAACTGACATGTTCATTCGAAGCAACCAATCCTTCCTTTACAGCCGTACCATATTCACTTTTATCGATAAAAGTGAGTTCAGAATACGTCTTATTTCAAACATATTCAAATCCATCATCTCCCTCCTTCTCATCCGATCCTCTCGAAAATCGCACGATGATACTTGACTTACTCTACTTTGTGATGACGAAAGACTATTTCGTGAAGACTATGATTTCGTAGAGTGTTCGTGAAAAACACGTTTCCCAATTTTCGTTACTTTAAAAACACACTGACATTAAATATCTCGGTGTGATGAAACTTATAACTATAATAAAAATTCCGTTAACGTTAATTTACGACGAGACAACGTTTACGGGGCGCGACGAGAAGAGCATGTTGAATTAATATCGTCATCGTTCAACAAACAGTGCGATATGGCGTGAGGAAACTCCCCGAGAAGTCAATGAGATTCGAGCGGACGTTTCGTAAGATCTTATTGAGCGGAAAATCCGGCCGCGATAGCAGACACAGTAATCAGGATATGAGTGCGCAAGTACCAGACGAGTTTGATCACGCCGAAATCCGAATCATTGACAAATAATCGTCGAGAGCAGAGCGAAGCACGTTGCCTGATAAGTGAGAACGAAGGCCAAGCCGTGGGTTTATTGGCCGAGATCCAGTCGCGTTTTATCCGTGACTACACCGCCGAATGCACTCGGCGCCTGTGTTGCGTATTTCACAAGCGCGTTCCTGAGCGCGCCGGGATCATACTCTGGTATCAGTTGTTTCAAAACCGCGGCAATCAGAGGAAAGAGAAGTCCGAAGCAGAAGGCGAAAGTTCGCCGCGAATGAAAAACGGGCATCATGCCGGATTTGCGACAAAAATGACGAAAAATAGACGCGTTAAATTCTTGCAGGCGAATTTCGGCCAAATCTTCACGAGACCCTTGACATTTATGCAAGGCGATAAGTAGATAATCCTCGGGCCATCTGTGCCATAATTATCGTTGTACTACCACATACTTGCCAACTCGGTGTTTTTTTTCTTTTGCGGTTGTTCGCGAAACGATAAATTGACTCGGCCGTTATCCATACGTTATGCAACAATGTTTAATCGTCGCATAAAGGATTCCTGTGAGTGGAACGAACGCGCGCACAAAAGATCTCGCAGATTATGTAATTGGTCGATGCGAATTTACGCTCGTAACAACCTACGTAAAATTTCACACGACCGACAATTCTATTCTTGATCTTTCGGCGCGATCTAAGAATCCCATGGATGCGCCCTAGAGACACTCGAGGAGCGTTCCAACGATGACGCGCCGGAACGTTCCGTGATAATCGAACCATATATGCAACGGACGTCTATTCCGGCGCGTAACCCAACTCTCTGATATGTCATTTTCATATTAAGGCACGTTCCCTCCTAGATTCCGCATCGCAACACACCTAGACGACGATGCGCGCAGTGTCAGCTCGCTCGCGAGTCGAATGCGAAAGCAGCAATGTGTCCGCTCATCGGATCATCTAAACGAAAGTGCTTAAAAAGAAAATACTCGAGTCGCGTTTCAGCGAGCTCGACGATATTCGACGCGACGGATTTCCCGTTCGCGGCGAAACGTGCGTCGTCTGGTAGCGCCCAGTTATCGATTAAAAAAAAAAAAAAAGGATTATTCTCTATCGTTATTCATAACGTGAGAATTTTATACGAGTGTCGCGAGAGAGATGACGTAAGAGAAACACAATATTGATAATGATATCGATCGTGCAAGAGACAATCTTATAATTTATTATGACGCAGGTCATATCGCAGGTTGTATTAATTTGCATAAGGCTTGGAAAATACAATTGCGATGCTCGGCGAAGCTTCCCGATTGCCTCGTTCACGCGGTTTCGCAACCGACTACTCCTTATCCGAACTAATGACGCCACTGAGAGGAAACAATCGCGGGGATTAGCGTCCGTCAATCGCGGTCGTCGCGTTTCGCATACAGCAGCATACGTTTCTAAGTCGGCCGTCCTCGGACGCCTACGGCGTGGTCGTCGTCACCAGCCGCTGAGCACGTGGTTGGCTCCGGTGGAAATAGCTCCGACATACCGCCGGTGGAACATGTGTACGTGCGTGTCTCATTGTCGCGAAATACAGAGAAGGACGCCGAAAGAGCGTCCGGGAGGGGGGAGAAGAAAGGAGAGAAGAAGTGAAAAAAGACGAGGCGAAGTAAACGAGTCCACTGGAAGGATCGGCAAGGGGAAGACGAGTCTCTCGTGAACGCGACTGACGATCGTTACGCGAGTATGATACACCGCGTTGCATAGCGATGCGCAAAATTCGAAGGATCATTTCGTCAATGGGATCGCGAGCACTGCTGTCTCAATTTGATCGGGTCATGTTTCTCGAAAGTAATCCAACGATAACGCTTATACAATAAGATAGCAATTATTAATACTCGCGATACGATTTGTGATTATTTTTCTTTCGGAGCAAATTAAATTCTGGCTCGTGATAAAAGCCGGAATCAACTGACGGTGTATCGAATTCGAAGTTCTCGCGTGCGGTAAAATGAGCGACGTCATAGACATCTAGTATCGTGAGCAAACAAGATACACTCTCTGCGCATCCCTAGCAGTGCAGACGAGCGCATTTACATATCGTCGGCGCGACGGTCGACGCGAAATACTCTTAGAATGCAGAGTATACTTTGCGGATAAACGATAACTATGGAAACTATAATATTCGGTTGTAAGATAATGACGCGTAAATGACCAAGTAGGAAGAATATAATCTGTCTGATAAAGGCCTACCTATCGATGACCAGGAAGCAATGTTGAAAAGTCAACCGGAAAAAGAATGTCGAAATACGATAACAAAATTGTACAATACACGCGCAATGTAAGAAAATGAGCTGCTGTTACAGCGCAGAAAGTTCCGACATTCTACAGGAGATAACATGTCCGATGGTTCACAAAGGAGCGGAAATAATTATCGGGTGTTTCAGGGAGATCTTGAATTTTGTAGACGAGTGATGTATCGCACATACTTGGTTGCGTTCGTTGAAATCTTCAATAAAAAAATTTGACAAGTCAGGTTTCCGACGATTGATATCTTGTGAGAAAATGTCACCGACTTTCAAACGGGCATCTCTGCCATGAAGGTATTCTGTGCACGCCACATGTGCGGCGCGCTGTACGGTCACTATTTTCGCGATAACGGCTAAATAAACGAGTCATTCGGCGGCCTTGGCGCGTATCGCGAGAAAAGCGCGCTCAAGCGTTCCGTGAATGTGTGCGAGCACGCCGCATCCGAAAAATCGTCGCTGTTGATACTTATTATTAATTTCATCACGGATGTTCTCGTTCGAGCAAACAGCGAGCGGCGGTCCACGCGGAAGAGCAGACGTTTCGTGTTATCCGCGTTTAATCCAGATTGCGGCCCGCTTTCGCGATGCGTCATCGCAATGACGGACGCACGCACACTTCTTCAAGAGATTGCATTACTTCACTGCGCCTTCGTTTAACACGATCCCCTCTATTTCTCTGATAATATCGTAGATAGGTATTGCAGAGATATATTTCCGTCGGACATTTTTTATCGACGCTAATGTACGCTCATTTTACATTTCTATCGATAATTATTCACGATGCCACGCGTCGTCGTTAATGGCCTCGATCATCAAATTTCCCGGGATTATCGCTTGCTGTCGTAACGAGCGAACCGCCGTTATCTCCTATCGAATAACTGTCGCGGAAAGTCCAGAAATCGCGTACATCTTCCATTAGAATTATTCGTTTTGTCGTAGAAAAGAGAGAGAAACGTGTGTGGTCGGCTCGAAAGAATGGACGATAATCAGAGTATGGTGGCTTCGAAGCCCATATTGTTCCGCATAAAAATAATTGGTCTTCCAGATGATGCCCAGACGACAAAAGAAAGCTTCTCGCATGGCTTTCTCTCGAGAAATATTTTCGTAACCGTGAAAAACGCGAAGAAATTTGCAAGGTAACAAAGCTTGAAATTCTACACTCATAGAGACTATCGGAAACTTAAAAACGGTGATTTGGCGAACAGACCACTGCTGAGTTTCAAAGTAAAGCTCGTTGTGACGAGCAGCAATCTTTACTTAACGAATGATGATTTGGAAATATCCTTTGAAATAGTTCGAAAAGAGAAGACGTTTATAAATGATGCACACAACTTGGATGCATTCGCAAACTCTATTCGGGAACACGCGTCATATAGACGACAATAAAAGTGAAAACAGCTGATAGTTACAATCATCATCGAATCAATATGCGATATTTTGGACATCGTGAGTGAGAATGAACGTCTGGAATTTCTATGAAAAAATACGGCTTTTCTCGTAAGAGGAGCGGGTAATTAGGAAGGAAAGGAATTACGAGTAAAGTTGGAAGCTCGCGATTCAAAGAGGAAAATGTCGCTTTCATCGCTGCTACGAAAAGAAATATAGATGGTCGCGCTCGAAAGACGCGCGTCACGAGAAGAGCGGCAGCAGCTCGAGCGGAGAGCACGTGGTCGGTGTATGGCGCGATCGCGCCGTTAATAATTCGCGTAATGCCGCATCGTTTCCGCGAATCGCCGGAAGCAACGCTCAGCTCGTTCGCAACATGTCCGTCCGAATTTGTCGGACGAAAATATCGCGAGATATTTCCCATCTTTCTCTCCGTCCATGACGCTCTATACCGATGTTAAAGCAATCGACGCTGCGAGTCTCGTCCCTCCCCTCGCGAGGAGGGAGAACCAGTTTGAAGAGGCCGGAGGTGAGAGGCGCAGCCACGGCGAGGGAGGAAGTCGAAATTCTTGCGACGAGTTCGCGAGCTATTTCTACACCAAGCTAGAGAATTGCGGGCTGAGAAAATAGCGCATACCTTTTCGTGCGGGTCGATCCGCCTCGTCGAGACCGGGTTGCTCCCATACCAGCACGTGGCCATTTCGTCCTCTGTTCTCACTGCTGTTGATTCTGCTGCCGCTCATCGCGATGTAAAGCGATCAACACTGCTCGGACTGTCGCGCCGGTTTCACTCGCCAAAAAGCGAGAGCGTTCTTTTTTTACACCGGTTGGACGGCGGCTGCGGTGACGGGGCAGGCGGTGACAACGGCGGGCGACATTCGCGGGCAAAGGTGAACGACGACGAAGATGGCGAGGTTAAGTTTTTTGCGCGAATACGACGGTACGTGACGTACTGATGAAACGACCGACCGACCGACTACTCTCCGGGCACGCCGATAACGACTTGGCGGGCGGCCGAGCGAGCGCGCGGCGCCGGTTGAACGCGCGCGGCGCCATCTGCCCGGCCAATCGGATCGCAGCGCGCCGAAAGTCACGTGCGATCACGGGAAATTCAAAGGTTAAAAAGAGAATTCGGACAATTTTCATCACTAGCGACAACGTTTGCGTGTGACTGTCCAATTCTCGACTTTGTGTCCATAGATAAGAAAAGATAACCAATCATTAATTCCACACACAATTCAATTCATTTCTTGGACCTAATCTTGACGAGTTTTAATTTCTAATTTCGAAGAATTCTCCTCCACGTAAAATGTATCGCCAGAGATTGCACATCGCAAATAATCTTTCAAATTAAGCGATAAATTGAGACGAGATGGTGGGAATCGCGTCTTTCCGCCGTTGGGAAAATCCGTTTACATCTCATTCGCGAATCAATCTCAAATTCTGAAGTAACGTACGCCTGGAACTGGCACACTTTCAAAACGCTATTTCCATCCAGCCGAGAGATACGTTTTTAACTTGTGTTCTCTCGCGTCGCATTTATCGGAAAATCTGTCGTGCGTTTTTCCGAAGGAAAACGAAGGAAATCGATTCAATGAAGGATTCAAATTCTTCCGTAAAGATCGCGTTCCGCGTATGATGAACGAGCGATTTAAAGTGCCGATTTAAACAGCGAGAGAGAAAGTAAATATCTCACTCGAATTACTACTTCGTAATAAAAAAAGCACACAGTGTTATTGTGGAGTCTTGCCTTATTGAAGGCAACGATTACGTCAGATATCGTAACGAAGAAAAACTCACTGAGTCACTACGTAGATAACGTCGTTACGTCCGCTTAATTGGGATCTCGGATGTCGCCCGACTAGTTACCATTCATCTTGGCACCACGTCAAAACAAATTACGCGCGGGAGGTAAAAAAATCTTTATTGAATTGACGAAATTACTTTTCCCGAAGCGAGGCTACAACGAATCAATCGAAATATCGTCATAGTAAATAATTACTTTATAATTATTATAACGTAAAATTTCCACACTTAGTTGTTCGTCCTTTTTCTTTTTCGCACACAAAGTGATGCAAGGAAGTGATAAAATTTGGCATAAATTACTCTCGTAAGTGATCTCTCGTGTCGAGGGAAATACGATATCATTGCGCGCAACGAATATACCGGGAAAATATAATCGTTTAACGCGATAAGCAACGTCAAGCAGCGATCGTCGCGCGATTCCGTGCGCAATTTGACTTCTGATTCGGTCGAAACAGCCGCGTAGGATTTTTGGCGCGTCGAAACCAATCGGCTATTAATAACCCCGCTGAGCGACTTTATTTCTGACTGTCATCACGCGGTGGCGACGCGAAACAAACGCACTTACACGCTGTCCCACGTCAGAGTCCAGCGTGCACCTGCGTGCATTCTGGAAATATCACTGCGAGATATTATCACGGCCCAAAATGTCGATGATCGCCGGTATGACGGACCTACTTACCACATTACCTGCCATAATTGGTACAACGTTTCGTAAGCGTATGACGTGTTTCCCTATTCCACAATAAGAGGTATTCCCGTTTGGACGCTGATAACGGTAGGTGTGTCGACGCTTATCACGGAAAAGTGTTGATGGTAATTAGGATAATCGATGTACACACATCACAAATTTTCTTTCTTTCGAGATATTTCCCTCAGCAGATTTCTCGTCGTAAGCAGACGGTCTCGTGACATAGAAGTTAATTGAACTTTAAGAAATAATAACTTTGTGCCAGTTTCAAAATGAATGAATGAAGGGCTTCTCGACGAAATCTCTCGTATAACGAAAAGAAATTTTCCACGCTGAAGGAATTTCCGTAGGTGGGATAACGAGTAAATGCCCGCTTGTGGCTTCATTTCGTCGCGACGGAGAGTTGATTTGAAGCTCGAGTATGCTGCTCGTCGCAGTATAAGCGTGAATCGCAGTCGTCGCTGTCTATAATTGATTTGATTGCTGCATATGCAACGCGGCGCCCGTTCAAAGCGATCGGCGCGCAAATATGCGACCCGTCGCAAATTAAAGGAGAGGAGGGACTTCCTCTAATCAGTGTTAAGTAATTGACGATTTAAGCCGAGCCAAACGTTAATTGACGATAATAGGCGAGCAACAGTTAGATAGTGAAACAAGTACAATAATGGGCGAAAGTTTCAAAAAATGGAGATTACACTCGATGACCGGCGCCCGCGAGCGACTCTCCGTAATCAGAGGACCGTGCGCATTGTGCAATCGATGACTCGTTGTTCGAAAGCATGACGCTGCACATTTTCAGCCGCTCGCGCGCGGAACCGTCTAATTTCCTCGTACATGCGACGTGCGGTGAATCGCGTTATTTCGCTTGCGTACGTGCGACAAATGTCGCGGGCAAGTGTGAGATCGCGTGTTGCAGGTGTGGAGAACGATTAACTAACGCGCTACACGGTTCTTTAAAGAGACACGCTATACACGTGGACTTTGTATCCTCGTACGTGAGCGTATCCTAAAAGATGATTTCTTTTTCAACGAAAATAAATCGGCTTCTACACAGAGAAAAGGATTTCCTTGAATCTCATAGAATTTATTTAATCGAAACCAATTATTTCAGAACGCATCAAACAAACGTTTGATTCAACAAACAGTTTGGTTTCTCAAATAATAAATATTTCATCAGTTTTTTTCTTACATGAACATGCGCAATAGATGGTCAGACAGTTGTCAAAATTAGATACGTCAAAATTACATGTGTTCACTTAAAAAAGGCTATAAATTTTTGTTTTAACCCAAAATGAAAGAACATTTTCATTCGGACAGAATGATATTTGATATTAAATTATGTTGTTTATAGTTTAAATAAGCTCAAGTGAAACAAACATGTATACTAAATTCAAAGAAGCTTTTTTTCTCTATAACAACGTCGAGTAACGTACTAATACTGCCGAAACATTGGCGAAATATCGCAGACGGCGAACACTTTGGTTGATGAATAATTTTATTAAAACAACAATAAATTTGACTAAGAATCTTTCACTTATCGAGTAGCACGAATCTATGTGATCGGACGACCATCAAAGTCTAACTTATCGAAAGCCGTAAACATTTATACTCTAGATAACGATAACGAATGCGACGTAATGCGCGCGAGAATAGTTCCGTATCGGCTGTAGTTTAATACCGAGGTGTGTTAATAGACTTTTTTTTACGCATCATGTTCACGGTTGATACCATATTATTTTTCTCGAGAAGCCATCGGTTTAATTACGTAAATTAATTAACGATTTAATAAACTGAACGCTAATGAAGTACAGTTATCGCGCATATCGACAGCGAGATTACAGAGTTTGCGAGTCGATAAAAAAGATACGCACGCTGTCAGTTAACTGTCTGTCGTAAAATTCAATTCCTTCCGCGATAAGGTAGATACCTGCAGCAAAGATGATCTCAGGGATAAAAAATAAAATAAATAATAGAACAGTAATAAACAAAATAAAACTTGTTCGTTTCTCTCCAAACTTTTCTCGTTTCCAGGTAAAATCGCGATGCGCATTCTCCGACTTCCGTTTTATACAGAAATCCGTGAACGGTGCGCGACACAGAGGATTGGAAACGCTAGGATGTCGGCGATTTTCTGATTGGCAACGAACGCGACGCGTGGCTTAAGCGCGGCCTTTACATTATTTAATCCGGATGACGATATATATTTCCGCGCACCACACTCAGCTTCAAGTTTCGAGCCGTCAACAGGAAACGCGAAAGCTCTCAAACTCATTATCCACTATGGTCAAGTGGAAAATAGCGTCGATCACGCCAAGTATAGCGGCAGGAAGCCGAAGCGAAAATGGTCCCATGGTCGTTGTTGTAGCTCTTTTCGCCTCTTTGATTCGCTACGTTAAAAATACCCTACGTTCTTTCCGTCATAATTTCAAGATTGTCTCGTTAAATTATTATCGGTTTGCTTAAGAAGTCTTACAGTTCGTATATAATAGAAATGGGATCGGATGTAAACTCGGTGACGAGAAACCCCGTTATCACAGAGAATGTTCATCTGAATATGCGATAACGGAGAATAATTGATTGAGCAAAAACCTCCAGTGGGAATCTTCTGTTCCAGCATGAAGGAAAAAAGTTTGATTGAATTTACCTGACAAACGCGTTTGGCTTGTAAAGTTTTTGCCTGGTCCCCAGGCAATCTGTCACATGAATCGTGTTTCCGTTTCGCAAAAAAATAAAACGACGATATACAAAAACACGCATGACATAACTCGGGGAGAAAGGAGCGTGTAATTTGCATACCGTTAGGAATTTCGGGTAACTCCTTGAAGCGGATAACTAGCGAGCGAGAAATCGCAATTTGCTTGCGGACGCATCGATTCGCATTGTATTCGATCACACAAACGATTCGTGTCAAGGCGCGGCGAGAATTCGTCACACCGTATCCGCGATCCTTGCGCGAGGTCGTATCCGAGGGCACAGCTCGAGTTTCCAGAATTCGTCCTCGTACCGTGCCTTCGGAAGAAATTCTATTGTTATCAATGAAGACTTATGTGTGATAAAAATATATTACGACTAAGAGATTCGTAGCTTTGCGTGATAAATCTTCGTTAAACTTGCTCGCACGTTTTCGCGATAAAACTTTTGCTCGTTATTCACTTTGCGCTGAGACATTTTTCTCCACGTGCGGGCTGTAAATCCTAAACGCAAAATACATACCGCAATGTTCGGAAGCGCAATAATTAGTTGCGCTAGATCTCTTCGGTCCGACGAAGAGACGCGATTGACGCTTTCGACGGCTTCGGCAGGAAGCATCCATTGCTGAAGTTAAAGACAAAACGCTGATTTATCAACAAAGAATTTGGCGTGATTTATCGCAATATTCTCACGCTCTATAACTTGACGGACGGTTGATAACGATGACTGATCGCGTTTTAATCGCTCCAAGTGGTATGGATGCATCGGTCGGCGCTAAGGTTTCCGTTTATCTCGCAGGATTTTCATATCGAAGGGGAATTCCTTCATGTAGTATATATTATAAATTGTCATAAACTATGACGGACTAAAAATTAGTTGTGACGTGCGATAAATCTAGCGAATAAATTTAATAGAACGGCCGGTTATTTTCCTTCTCGTAATCCAACTTGCTTCTTTAATCGATTAATGACATAACAACCGGGAAAACTTGAGGGATTACTATGGAAATATTTTTCAGCCCGTGTCGCAATATATGACTTAAATATGTGCGTAATTTTTTATAAAAACGCATTATCGAGTCTGTTGCTCGTGTAAATATCTCGTGTTCCTATAAAACATCGCGCAACACGATGATTATTGTTCTTCGCTTTCAGGAACTTATTGTCTCTCAACATCGCTGTAATCTATTTTTATATTTGTACCGGACGAAGTAATCGTCTGGAGTTGTTAGAACGATATCCAACATAATCGCCGATTAATAAGCGACGCGAATATAAATAGAGGATCATAAATCTCTTTCGGGGTACAAAGTGCCGATATGTGTACGCACAGTCAAAGTCTGAGAAGATATGAGTTATCGCGGTCTAACGTAATACTCTGGCTAGATAAGAATCTACCGAATTGCGTTTTCTCTCGTGGCTCTTTCCCGTAGAAACGCGTCTGGCACGACGAGAGTTTCGACGAGATTCGTTCACGTCAATGAATTATTTCCTCCGCTCAAGTCGGACAAAAGTCATGTATTACTGACGAAGCCATTGCGTGGCATGCATTATTCAACGAGACAAGCGATCCTCCTCTCTCGCAGCATCTCGTTCAAGGCTGAGTTCTCGGATACGCTCTTCCACCTAATTGTCGCGGTTGATTCGTAATATCCAATTAGCCACACAAATCCCTCGATCAAAATTTCGATCGCCGCCGACAAAATCCCTGCGATTTGCTATTACCACTGGTTTGCATTATTCATACTCTATATCTGTACATGGATCGCCCACTGCACAGGTCTTTCACGTAATCTCGTCTTCCGACGAGAACGCGACAATTTTTTTGGAAATCCTTTACACAGCGAGGTAAGTTGGTCCCGCATTTTGCGAGACGATCAGTTTTTCCAAGACGAGCTCAGTAGTTGCAGCCGAGGGCGACGTTTGTCTTCGCAAATGCCGGCAACATTCTCGCCGGAAAAGCACGCCACGTAATGTAATTTCGTTTGTTTGCGACGCTAAGAACCATCTCTCCGTACGAACGTATCGATGAATTGAAATAGCGTGATCGCGAGAGAGAGTAGTACAATGTAGTAATTACACGCGTCGTGGTATCGCCGTTAGCAGTGTCGCCGGTGAAACGTCATGAGGAAAAGAACAGCGCAGCAAGTTTCCGACGACAGAGCCGTAAAAGTTGTCGCCGAGAGACCGGTCTCGCATCCATTAATTGTAATTAATTATGTGAGCCAAATGAAATTGTATATCGGCGCGATAATTATATCCCGTTTAAGAATGTAATTAACGAACAGAAAGGTAAGCGTGAATCGACACCTTCCATCGTCGAACAAACGAGTATGTATCATTCTCAATCCAGATTCAGAATATTACAGGATGGAAACAATTGACCCATTACGCTAACCTTTCGTAACTTGTGATTTGATGCCGCAATTTATATTCCTGCACTTTGCAATTAGACCGCGATTACGTTTGCGTAAAGTTCATTCGTGTGCAATCGGAATTCCATTACAGTCTGCAAAAGCGTAGGTGTTTTACAATTGTCTTTACGCACACAAAGAAAAAATGTCTGTCTTGTTTCACTTACTTGGCGTGAATACGGTGTTTCATCACGGTACAGTCATACCTATGGAGTTACGATTCGAAGAAGCCGATCCGATCGAACAGTTGATATACTTGTCGAGATAGCGATGCTACCATGTCGTTCGAGATAACGAGGAAAAGAGAAGCCGTACATTATGATATGGTAAGCGATAAGACTCCTTATTATTCCAATGTACAATGGAATGGCTAAATATATTTCGAAGATAGCAACAGGCCGTAAAATGCAGACTAAAACCTCGTATTCCACGGAAAGAACTGGTTGAAAGATATTTTATCGGATGTTAATTGTGAAAAACGGGCACGATGTAGCCGCGAATAATAATAACATCGCATATCGACGGCGTTATTATTTTTTTTCTTACTTACTTTGAGCTTTAATCAGCTGACTAAACAAGTCTCGACTGCGTTTAGCGATTGCTCGCATCTTGATTTACGTATATAATACCGGTAGAAATCCGCGCATCCATCATTCATGACGACGCATAATCAATCTGACGCAAATATTCACGTATTTTCGTTCTTTCGACGTCAAGTGAAAGATGTACATGGGGCGAGGACATCGCCTAATAATCGTCAATATAAGATCGAAAACATCGTCGACCAAGAACAATATTTTGACACAAAGCAAAGGTAAATTTTCTTGACAAAGAGAGCGCGATGATTTCAACTAGAACAGAAATTGCCGTGTGATAAGTCATCTTCGAATTTGTAATTAATTAACGGACATACCGGAAAATGCAATCGAGACTGACCCGACACATGGGCGTTTGAATTTCTGCATAAAACAAATTCAACCATAATGAAGTTAAAGATAAGACAACGATCAGTCGAAATATGTGTCATGCGATCGATCAATTATGAATTCCATCGAAAATGGAACAGTGCCGCACTGAAAATAAATTCCTGATCGCATGTGCACAAAAGAAAAAGGGC